GGCGCCGCGGTCGTCGGGCGTCGGCGCCGCGGCTGCGAAGTTCCCCTCGAGGAACGCTTCGCCCAAGACCACGAAGCGAATGTGGCCGCGGCGACAAGGGGGGAGCCCGAAAGCACAATCATGGTATTTAATTCGGGCGTGTCCCGCTACAGGGGGATTTCAAACGAAAAAACATACACAAAGCCCCCCCCCCAATGGGCAAAAATAGGCAACAATTCGTCCCCATACGATTGTTTTTCTTCAACTATTCTTGAACATTCCTCCTGTACAAGGACAGGCCCGACTTACTGTTACTTGTCGCCGTCGCGGCACGGCAGAAGCAATCCGCTCGCGCGGTCTGGAAGCTGGGGCACTACATTCGGCTACACGTAAGAGTGACCCTGGGTAAGAGTGACCTTTGGTGCGCGACTTTTTGGGGGGCCGCGGGGGGGGGCCAAACAGGAGCGCGCAAGGCGCCACTGCCGCCTCGCGTTCGGCGATCGGGGACCCCAATGGGCCCGCACCAAAGGTCACTCCGGCGAAGGGTCACTCTTACAGTCGGGGCCTTGACCTAAGGAACCCAACATAAGGAACGAGGCCTCTTTTCTCCATCAGTTGAACTTCGATTCCCCATCGGAAACCTTGGGAAGACCTGAGGCAAGCTGCGAAACACTTAAGGAGCACGGAGCCCTTCCCCAACGAAAAGGGTTCTTTCTTCAGGGCCCCGACTGTTCGGGAGCGGCCAAGAGGGGGGTGTCCAAGAGGGGGGGGTGCAAATCATGACCGGCGACATGTGCGCGGCCCAGCGGGGGGGCCAGGGACGTAATGAAATAAGAAGAGGCGCCACGAAATCTGGGGAGATAGCATGGCCCCCGCCATGATATCCACCTTCGGGGATGGACAGAACCCCCTTTAGCAAAACGTGGTTTAGTGAAAACGACCTCGGGCCCAAATCTGGCGGGCGAAAGCCTGGAAACTGACGGCCACGGCGCCCTCTCGAGAACCGAAAACGGACAAGTCACTAATCGACGTGTCACTATTGGGGGTTCTGTCCAGCCCCGACACCTCCCCCCTAGTCATCACCCCCCTCCTCTCCGCCCCCGAACTGTACGCGTCGTCGAAAAATGAAAAGGCGGGACAGAAGGGCGGCGGCGGAGCGAGGGCGCAGGGGGAGGGGCGCTCGCGGCACGACGCACTCCGGCAGGAGGCCCAAGCTTGGCGGAGCAGAGGGGGGAGAACATCCCAGGAGGAGAAGAAGCACACAGACACAATGAATCCTCGATTTCCTGAGAAAATATAGAAGAAAATATGGGAAGTGGGGGGGAAGGCAGAAGCCCAGAGAATATAGGAACAGAGGGGGAATCTTTTTATGTGTGTGTATTTATGTGTGTGTCCCATGGCCCCTTCAACATCGGCGCGTTCTCCGCCGATCGGGGCAGGCCCCCCCCCCCCGAAACCACGCGGGGGGAGGCTGGGGAGGGAAGGGGGGCGGAGGACAACTCGCCCATCTCTCGGGAAAGAGCGGACCCCTCCCCAGGGGAACACTCGTCGTCGTGGGGCACATGCGATAGTCCTCGGGTGCAGAAGATGCCTCGTGGCGCCAAGATTCAAAATCGCCAGCTCGTAGATTGCCCAGGAACGGGCCGTCCGAGACGAATGAAGAATTGAAGGAGCAGGTTCGTTCATGGGAGACGCACGCGACGCACGTTTTTCGCGCTTTGTGCGAGGCAATACCACACTGCATCACAAGCGATGACACAGATGTCTGAGGAATGCGGCGCATGCCTTTCGCGATTCATGGGCGTGACGCCACGCGCAGAAACCAAAGCGTAAAACAGGGATGACGCAGAGAACGGCGCAGGCGTCGACTGCGAACGACCGCATTTCAGCGCGGACAACAATGGTTTTGCCACACCGCCTGCGCAGCATCACTCCCGGGCTCTAGCTGGGCAGCGCCGCCGCCCCAACCTGCGCCGTTCGGCCAGGGAGCTGCAGTCGACGCCGCGCGCGCGCGCGCCCCGGCGCGGGCGCGCGACGCGCAGACCACGCGACCTCGCTGGCACCTGCAGTCGCACTTCTCGGGCCGAGTCGCGCGGGAAGAGGAGCGGGCCGCGCCCGCGCGCGATTCTTTTTCACATATCCCCGCACTTTTGCGCGCGGGCGCTGGGCCTCCGAAGTGGCGCCGCCAGGTCAGCGGGAGCCTTTTCGGAAGGGACACGCCAAACTCGGGCCGCGGGACACAAGAGAGTCGACTGCCCGACACAGGCCCCCTGGAGAACGTGACACCGAACGCAGCGAAACCCAGCCGCGTTGCCTGCGCCCTCGTTGCGGGCAATAGTTACATCCACATCCAGTGCGTCTTGGATTCTTGGGCCCTCTTCCCCAGAAACCATAGACGCGCTGGATATGGATAAACATCTGGCCCCGGGAGGCTTGATCTTATCCATATCCAGTGCGCCTCGGCGTTGCGGCACCTCTTCCCCAAAAGTCCACGACGCTCTGGACATGGACATAAGTTCTGCCCGCCCCCGTGGCCGTCGCCGCAGGACGATCTCGGGGCGAAGAGGCCGCGCTCGCCCGGGGCGGCGACCGCTGCGCAGCCGGCACCGCCCAGGGGGTGCGGGGCCCTGGCTGGGCCTGCGCAGGCAGCCGCGACGTGGGACCTGCGCGGTGCTCGCGCCGCGCGCATTCGGGCTCAGAAGCTGGCAGCAGCTGCGCAAAGACGGGGAGGACGACGAGGAGGAGGAGGAGGAGGACGAGGAGGAGGAGGAAGAGGAGGAGGACGAGGAAGAGGACGAGGAGGAGGACGACGAGGAGGACGAGGAGGAGTTGCGAAAATGACAACAGCCCAAGCTTGGCCTCGGCTGAATCAGCGCGGGGCGCCCGCCCTTCTGACGTCCCGCAAGCCCCGACATTGGCGACACCTGCAACGCCCTGCGGCAGCCCGGGAGGACAGACGAATTCAGGAAGAGAGGCAGTAGCAGGGGAAAAGCCAAGGGACGCGTAACCGAGGAATGGCAAGCGACCGCACCGAATCGCGCCAGACAAGCGCCGCGCTGACGGAGCACGGCGGCAATGTCGCCCAAAGGTGTCGCACTGATCCCAGTCCGAATAAAACGCATTGACGGCACGTCGCGCAGCGCTGCGTGGCGTCGTTGTCCTCGGGGGCCCTATGGCCCATGGCTGCGGTCAACTGACTCAATTTGGCACCTGCTGCGCTGACCCCCTCAAGCGATCGTGCCACGAAGAATTCTGACAGTACGGCATCGTATACGGATGCATATCGTAAAGGTATTGTTGACAAGCGCATGGCTCGAAGGGGGCAACAAGAGTGCGTCGATGGGCTCGGAGTGGAACGCCTCCATCGACTAGAGGAAAAAGCTGAAGGCACGGTGGTCGCGGACCCACGACGTTCGTATATATTTTACGTGCGGCGAATCTATGTACCCCACAAGGAAGCAAAAGGCTATCGCGACGTTCCCAAACAATCAACTACCTCGCGTGAAAAAGCGGTCCTCTTCCTTGTTATTATCAGCAATATCTCTGTCGTTATCTTTGTCGTTGTCCTCTCTCTTGTTATGTGTTTCTCTCGCTCTCTCTCTCTCTCTCTGTCTCGCTCTCTACGTCTACGCCAGCAGCTTCGTCAATATCTGCATCAATGCCTGAATCAACCCTGCCTCGCCCATTCCCCTGCGCCTGCTCATCCGCCCTATTTCTCTGTCCCTCTCATTCGATGTCACTATGTCTCCCTCTTCTCGCTCTCGCGTTCCCTTTCTCTCTCTCTCTCTCTCTCTCTCTCTCTCCCCCGTTCCGTCTCTCGTTCATGTTCTCTCTCTCTCTCTCTGCCGTTCTCTCTCTATCTGTCTATTTTTCTCTGTCTCTCTCTCTCTCTCTTTATCTATCTCTCTTTTTTTCTCTCCGTCTCTCTCTTGTGTATGTCTGGGGGGGGGGGGGGGCAGCACCATCTCGAGGCTCGAAACGCACCGCACTCGACGCCCACACTCGCCGAACACACTCGCGCCCAAACTCCATGCCGGCACTCGCACTCCATACTCGCCTCTCGCAGTCGCGCCCACACCCTACGCCCACAGTGTACGCGCACTCTCGCACCCAACATTGCACGCCCACACTCAAACCCCACACTCACACCGAACGCTCTACGCCCACACCCGCACCCCACACGCACACCACACTCTACGCCCGCCGTCTACGCGCACACTCGCACCCCACACTCACACCCCACACCAATCCCCGAGTTGATTTACCGAGTTGATTGGACGGGATGATTCGCAGAAATGAAGTACAGAGTTGATTTACCGAGTTGGTTTACAGAATTGATTTGCGCACTTGAGGTTCCGAGTTGGTTTGCCGAGTTGGTCTACAAGGTTGATTGGCCGACTTGATTTGAATAGTTGATTTGCCGGGTTGAATTACAGAGTTGATTTACAACATTGGTTTACAGAGTTGATTTGCAGAGTTGATTTGCCGAGTTGGTTTGTGGAGTTGGTTTGCGCGGATCGCTGGGATGGCGAATTGAATTGGCGTTGACATGTTGGACTCTGACCTACAATTCCAACTGCGGAGTGCGAATCCGTTTGCCGAGTTGATTACCCGAGCTGATGTCCCGGGTTGGTTTCACGAGTTGGTTAGCCGACATGAGTTCCCGAGTTGATTTGCCCAGTTGATTTACAAGGTTGATTTGCAGAGTTGGTTTGCCGAGTTGGTGTCGCGGGGCGGCCTGCCGAGTTGAGTTCGCAAGTTGATGTACCAAGTTGATTTGCCGCCTTGGTTTCGCGATTGGAGGTGCCGAATGGATTTCGCGAGTTGGCTGTCCGAGCTGATTCCTCGAGTGCGAAGTGCGAATTGACCGCGGGGCTGGCGTCCCCGACTGAGTGCGCCGAGTTGACCCGCATCTCGCGTTCGTGCCGTGCGGGCGTAAAGCGTGGGGGGCGAGCGCGGGGGCGATTGCGGGGTGCGCGTGAAAAGTGCGAGTGTGGGCGCACGGTGCGGGAGGCGAGTGCGGCGGCGAGTGCGGGGTGCGAGTGCAAAGTGCGAGTATGCAGTGCGAGTTTGGGCGTTGAGTCTGAGGGGCGGCCGTGCGCCCCGAAAGGGCTGCTACCTAGAGAGGCACGACCGCTGCCCCCCAGACACGCGCAATCTCCCTCTCACTTTCTCTTTCTCTCTGTCGCTTTCTGTCTCTATCTCTCTCTCTCTCTCTCTCTCTCGCTCTTTTTATCTCTCTCTCTCTCTCTCCCTCTCTCTCTATCTATAGATCCATCTATGTATCTATCCATAGCCGTTTCCCCCTCACGCTCGGACGTTCAAAATCTCTCGTACTCTGTTTCTGTATGTCTCCATCGTACTCTCTCTCGCTCTCTCTCTCTCTCTCTCTCCACCCCCCCTCCCTGTACCCTCTGGGAAGAAGTTTCGAAACCCAGGGCCCAAACCAAGCCACTATGAATTACAACTGCCACTACTCCGAACACGATTGGTACGACCACGAGTACAACTACGACCACTCCTTGTACTACAACTAATACATCTACTGCTGCTGCTACTACTGCTGCGACCACTGCTGCGACTAATAATACTACTGCCTCTGCTTCTATCTCTACTATACTATTACGACGGCGGCTACTACTACCGCTGTTACTACTACTACTACTACTACGACTACTACTACTGCTACTGCTACTACTTCTACTGCTGCAACTACTACTACTACTACTACGACTACGACTACGACTACGACTACGACTACGACTACTACTACTGCGGCTACAACGACGACCACGACTACCACTAATACGGCTACTAAGACTAATACGAATATTGCTGATGCTGCTGCTGCTACTACTAATACTACTCGTACCACTGCTCGAACTACTACTACTACTACTACTGCTACTACTACTACTACTACTGCTACTACTAGTACTACTACTACTACTACTACTACTACTACTACTACTACTACGACTACTACTACGGCAACTACAACAACCACTCGTAAAACTACTACTACGGCTCCTACTGCCTCTACTTCTCTGCGTACTAGTACTACGGCTACTACTGCGACTACTGCTACTACTGCTACCACTACTACTACTACTGCTGCGACGACTACCACCACTATCCCTATTACTGCTACTCTGACTACTGCTACTACTACTCCTCTAACTCCGACTACTGCTACTACTACTACTACGGCTACTGCGACAAATACTACTTCTTCGACGACTACAGCGATGATTGCTACGACTATTACTACTACTACCGCCCTACTGCTACCACTACGACTACTACTACAACTGCTGAGTCTACTATTTATATTACGACTACTACTACTACGGTTACCCCTACTACTTCTTCTACTGCCACTGCTACGACTACTACTACTGTGATGATCTTCCACCATTGCTACAACTACTGGACATACAAGACTGCAACTACGAGTAAGACTACAACTACGGCGAATGCGTGCATTACGACATCTCACCCTGCGCTTGCGCGCGCCACTACAAACACTACTACCTATACGACTTCAAATGCGACGGTCCCCGCTACTACTACTACTACTACTACTACAGCTACTACTACGACATTTTCTGCAACTGCAACTACCCTAGTAACACTTCGACGACAACCAGGAGTACTACGAACGCTACATCTACTACTACAACTACTACTACTACTACTACGACTACGCGTACTACCCGACCTATTACTACTATAACTACTGTTACAACTTCTTCTGCGGCCGCTACAACAACTACTACTACTACTACTACTACTACCACCCCTGCTGAGACTAGGACTGGTAATGTTACTACTGCTACTACTACGATTACTTCTACGACTACCACCACCTCGAGTTACCAGTACTGCTACTTCCACGGTTACTACTGCTACTACGACTACTACTACCACTACTACGACTACTACTACTACTTTTACTACTACTACTACTACTACTATTACTACTACCTACCTACCTACCTACCTACCTACCTACCTACCGACCTACCTACCTACCTACCTACCGACCGACCGACCGACCGACCGACCGACCGACCGACCTACCTACTACTACTACTACTGCTGCTACTACTACTACTACACTACTACTACTTCTACTTCTACTACTACTACTACTACTACTACTAGTTCTAGTACGACGAAGCCCAACATTGTTACTACTACTACATCTACTACTACTACTACTACTACTACTGCGGCTACTACGACTACAACTACTACCACTACTACTACTTGTACCACTGCTGCTACTGCCACTACTAGTGCCACCACTAAGACTACTACTGCTACTACTACGGTTACTACTGCTACTGCTACTATCACTATTACTATTACTACGACTACTACGATTACTGCTACTACTACTACTGCTACTACTTCTCCTACGACTACGGCTACGACTACGACTATTACGACTGCTACTACCACTTCTTGCTTCCATTGTATATCGACGACTACTACTACTACTACCACGACTACTACTACTACTATTACTACTACTACTACTAATACTACTACTACTACTACTACTACTATTACTACTACTACAACTAAGACTACTCCGACTCCAGCTCCTAAAACACCTACTACTACTACTGCTACTACGGCTACTACGACTACTACTGCGACGAAAGCTTCTATTACCGCTACGACTACTACTACTACTACTACTACTACCATTACTACTACCATTACTACTACCGCTACCATTACTACTACCATTACTACTACCATTACTACTACCATTACTACCATTATTACTACTACTACTACTGCCATTGCTAATACCATTACTACCATTACTACCATTACTAATACTACTACGACTACTACTACTACCATTACTACTACCATTACTACTACCGCTACTACTACTATTACCGCTACTACCATTACTACTACTACTTCTACTACCGCTACTACTGCTATTACTACTACCACTTCAACTGCTCCTCCTCCTCCTCCTACTACTACTACTACGATTACGACTTATACTTCTACTTGTACTACTACTACTACTACTACAACTACTACTACTACTACTACTACTACTACTACTACTTCTACTACTACTACTACTACTACTACTACTACGACTACGACTACTACTACTACTACTACTGCTACTACTACTACGACTACTACTACTACTACTACTACTACTACTACTACTACTACTACTACTACTAGTAGTACTACTCCTACTACTACTACTACTACTACTACTACCACTACTTCTACTACTACTACTACTACTACTATTACTACTACTACTACTACTACTACTACTATTACTACTACTACTACTACGACTACTACTACTACTACGGCGACCACTACTACCAATGTTACCTCTGATCCTACTGGCGAAGGCGGGCCTCGGTGAGCACTTCAAGGCGTGTCTCGCCAGCCCTGGTGCGGGTTCCGAGGATCACCTCGGAGTCGCCGACGTTCCCGACGACGCACAAACCTTTTCGCATCCTCCTCCTCCGCCTCCTCACCCCCCTTATCCAGGAAGTATGCCGAAGGTAACAGGCGGAACGACACAGAGGGAATTGGAGGCGGCCGGGTCCGACACAAAAGCAACTCAACAGGGGGCAGCCCACTTCGCAGAACAATGCTGCACAACGATCCGCACCAGAACGCTGACGTCTCAATAACATTCTTGCGGGCGATGCACGGCAAGGTAAAGCAAGGAGAGGGGATGAGGAGGAGGAGGAGGAGGAGAAGGAAGATGTAAACAAAACAAAAAAAAACACGCACCTGCTCCGCCCAACCTTCTTCGTTCTTCGTGTCTCCCCACCCCTCCCACCCGCATTCCTTACTCGTATCTACTCCAACTTCGCCACCTAGCCAACGCCGACTTCCCCTGAGCCGGGCCCGCCCACTCCACCCTTGTACAACCATGCACTCAAAGATGCTTCCCCTGACCGCATGGCCAGTGGCCAAACGCTGCGCGTGGCAGGAGCAAGGCGCGGCCCGCGTCCCCCGCCGCCGCGCTCATTTCTTGCTTCCCTGAGAATCGAGTTCCCGCTTGGGCGCAGCTCGCATGTTTCGGTCGCCGCTTCGTCGACGCCGCTCTCGTCGCGGCCCCTCCCCTCGACGATTTCGCAGGACACGGGTGCTCCCGCCGAGGGACGGCGCACACTGCCCCTCGCCAGGTCGTTTTGGAGGCGGGGCCGCGCGCGAGCAAGCGCTCGATTGCCCTCGCCGGAACTCCGTGCACATGGCGCCTGGCAAGGGCACTCGCGCGGGCCGCGGCGCATGTTCACACTCGCCGACTCGCAGGGAAGCGGGAGCGGTGGCGGAGCCGCGCGGTAGCGGGTAAAATAGTAGAAGGAGGAGGAGGAGGAGGAGGAGGAAAGCCGCGCCGTTCACGCGCGGTTTAGCAGAGCGAGGTGGCCGAGCGGTCATTCACTGTCCCTGGCTGCGTGGCTGAAGTGGGATTCCGACGTGCGGATGGTTGGGATCCCGAGGTGCGGGTTGTTGAGTTCTCAACTCTTGTAAAAAAAAACCCTCCGTAATCATTGCGCTCGCCCGTGTGAAGTATTATCCCGGGGCTCGCACCCTGTGATCTCACAAGGCCAAGGAAAGGGTCACCAAACTGTCGCACTGGCCCCCGGTTTACAACAACAACGCTTCCGTCCTCACAATGGATTCCCAAATCGCGTTCTCGCGCGGGACGTCCTCGCACCTCATATAGGAATCGCGCTCTCGCGTTGGACTGCCTCGCAATTTACTCAGACGCCGCGCCTTTGACACTCAGGAATCACGCACTCGCTGTGGACGTCATCATTATTCATTTGGGAATCGCGTTATCGCTCGACACTCACTCGCGGTTCATGCATGACGCACGCTTTAGCAAACCGCCTGCCCCTTGACCCTTCCTTCCATTCGTCATTTGTCCCCATGCCCAAGGGGCTGCACGAAGTACACGCTGCAGGTGAGAAAAAATATACCCCTAAGGGGGTACGATCAAAGACGAAGAATGCGGGTTTCGAGGGTTTGGAATATACATGTTGAATGGCATGCGAGCAAAGGAAGGGCGAGCAATCTTGAAATGATTCGCGTTGTTGAACTCACACTGCTGATTAATAGGTATTGTTGATCCCCCCTCTGGGGCACATTGTATTTTTAAATTGAAGTGCCCGCCCCGCGCCTCGCACCCCGACTGTTATAAGGGAAAATCATGGGTCTCAGAGTTTGGCCCCTGGCCCCCGAATTACAACAACAACAACAACAACAACAACAACAACAACAACAACAACAACAACGGTTCCCGCCTGATACTTCCTTACAATGATTTCCCACATCGCGCTCTCGTGCGGGATGTCGTCGCAAGTTAGGCAGACATCGCGCTCTCGCGAGGGACTTTCTCCCAATTTGTTCAGACGCCGCGCCCTCGACACTCAAGAATCACGCTCTCGCTGTGGCCTATCTCACGATTTACTTGGGAATCGCGGTATCGCTCGACACTCGAGATTCATGCACGACGCTCGCTTCAACAACCCGACTGCTCGACCTGGCCGCCTGGGCCCGCGTTCCCGACCCGCATGTGAAGCTCTGCTCTCTCTCCCTCTCTCGTGCTCCATCCTCCTCCCTCCCCCTTGTCCTGTTTCCGTCCGTCAGCTCTTTCCCTGCCGTAGGGGCTGCATGAAATACGCGTTGCAGGTAAGAAAGATATTATCCCAAGGGGGTACGACCGAAGCCGAAGACGGCGGGAATCGAGGGTTTGGGATATACGAGGTGAATGGTACGCACGCGCATAAGAACGAACAACATTGAACTGATTGTTGCCAATGTTGCTGTTGCTGTTGATGTTGTTTGTTGTGTAGTGTCGTCGTCGCACCGCCGACCCGGCCCGCGACCTACCCGCGATCCACCCGCGACCCACCCCACCCCGCGACCCAATCGCGACTCACCCGCGATCCACCCGCGACCCATCCGCGACCCATCCGCGACCCACCCACGACCTACCCTCGACCCACCCGTGACCCACCCGTGACCTACCCTCGACCCACCCGCGACTCACTCGCGACTCAACTGCGACCCACCCGCGACTCAGCCGACCCACCCGCGACCACCCGCGACCCACCCGCAACCCGCCCTCGACCCACCTACTTGCTTCGACCAAAAATTCGGCGCCTGCGGCGGGTTCGTTGCATAACTAGCTCAACAAATCTGCGCCTGCGGCGGGCTTCTTCAGAGCATCGCAGGCTGCCGATTGCCCCGCCGCCCCCTCACTCTTATCCGCAACTACGGGGTGCTACAGCATGTGAAAGTGGCAGTACTGCCGCGGCGCTGGCCATGGTGGGCCTTCGCCGCGAGACCAAGCTAAATGGTGCTCTCGCAGCTCCGCGGCGCCGCGCAAGGATTTCTAAAGTTCCGCTCTCTGACTTGCGCAACGTTCATGCTTCCCCTTGCCAAGTGATCGTAAGCCGGACCGCGCGCGAACGCCTTCCGTTCGCTGAGTGGATACGCGCTCCAGCCACAATACGCAGTGTGTGCCACTCCAAATGTTGTGTAAAGGTAAAGAAGCCGAACGGTCTTACACTTTCCCTGGGTGCCTGGCTGAACGAGGGATCCGCGGTGCGGACTCTTGTTCATGTGTTGTGATGTTCGTCGTCGTCGTCGTCGCCGTCGTGGCCCGCTGATCACCCGCGACCCACCCACGACCCAACCGTGACCCACCCGCAACCCACCCGCAACCCACCCGCGACCCGCCCGCGACCCAGTCGCGACCCACCAAGCATCTACCGCGACCGACCCACACGACTCTGACGAAGAACCGGCCACTGCAACTGGCTCGTTGTGTGATGTCTGCAATGTGCGCCGGCGGCGTGCTTCAGAATTGTTGTCGGGCCTCGAAAACTGGCGACAACCCCGCCCTCTCACTCTTGTCCGCAACTGCGGGGGCGATCGTACCAGGAGCGGGCATGGGAACAGGTGGGGCTGGCTGCTCTGTTCGACCTGGCTAACTTGATTCCTCCCCCTCCTCCTCCTCCTGCTCCTGCTCTCTCCGTCGTCGTCCTACTCATCCTCCACCCTCGCCGTGCCTCCTCCCTCCCACGCCAACCTCCTCCTGATCCTCCTCCTCCTCCTCCTCCTCTTATTCCTCCCCCCCTCCTTTCCCCTGGCATGCAGGAGCTGGCTCCCAGAGGAAAAGCAAGTCCTGGAGACCCCGAGGCCTCCCCGGGCCCGAAGTGGGCCGTGCCCCGCGGCCTGGGGAGGACGAGAAGAAACTCCCCCAAAGAACGTTGCGACACCTCCAGGTCCCTGCTCCTCCTCCTCCTCCTCCTCCTCCCTCCTCCTCCTCCTCCTCCTCCTCCTCCTCCTCCTCCTCCTCCTCCTCCCTCCTCCTCCTCCTCCTCCTCCTCCCTCCCTTCTGCTCCTCCTCCCTCCTCCTCCTCCCCCTCCTGCTCCTCCTCCTCCTCCTCCCTCCTTCTGCCTCCTCCCTCCTCGCATCTTGGCACCAACGGCCCCGATTCTTCATGCTGCCTTTCCTCACCCACTCGTTTAGGAGGCCACTTCTTGGAGGTCTTCGCCGGAAGGGTCAAAGAGGATCAAGCCCCATGGGGGGGGCTGCTGCGCCAGATCAGGCCGCGGAGCAAGCGGGAGTAAGCCGGATTAAGCGGGATCAAGCCGGACAACGCGGTACTGAGCCGGATTGAGCAAGATTAAGCCAGATGTCGGACCAGGGCGAAGTCAGAATTTGACCTCCCAGGAGTTGCATCCGAACCTCGTGTCTTGGCATCAGCGGCCATGCCCCATAAGCAGGGTGAGGTGCGGCGGAGCGAGCACTCCCCTGCCACCCCAGGAAAACTCATTACACGGAGGTCGGCTGACCGCAATGTGTCTCGACTCGGCCGCCACCACACCTTCCTTATCACGGTGCCCTTTCCCAATGGGAGGTTCCTCCAGTTCCGCTGCCCCATGGAGTCTCCTCCTCCCTCGTAGTGCGTCGTCCCTCCTCCCCCCCCCATCGCCCAACCTCATCCGGCTCATCCCGCCTCATCACCCTCCCCCTCGGTGCGCGTTGCACGCACTCGTGCGCGGTCCAGCGGATGCCCGCTGAGGCGCGAACAAAATGCGGAGGAGGGAGAGGCTCTCCAGACAGGCAGGCAGACAGAGAAGCCAGGCGCCGGGACGGCGCATGCTGCCGAGGGGGAAAAAAAGGAAGGCCGAGAGGAGGAGGAGGCAGAGGGAAACAGGAAGGTGGACGCTTCTGAAGTCTGGCAAGCAAGGAACGAAAAAAAGGGCTTTGCCCGGACGCGGCGCGCCTGGGCCACGCATGGGCCCCCGGCCCAGATACGACAACGGCCGGCCAGCATTTCGGTTCACAGGGCAGTTGTCAATACATAGGATGTTAAACATATAGTTTTTTACACAAAAGAGAAACCAACAAAAAACATGATTACTTTCTGAATAAATGTATGCATGAACTCATCGTTGTTTTAATACTAAATCCCTGCCATTTTACTACATGATCCGCACGCGGAGCATGTATTAAACACGGCACTGTGCAGACCAGGTCTCTGCTTGCGCACACAGCCAAAGTGGAGGGTGCGAGCGTCTCACGGGGCGCCGTGGCAGGCTGCCGGCCGCGAGGGCGCGGGGCGGCCAGCGCCGAGCGCCGGGCCGACGCCTGCTGAGGACACGGTGTCTCTGTGCACGGCTCGGCGCAACGCAGGAGGTGATAGGACGACTCCTGGCTTCCTACGTGCTGTCTATCTGTCTATCTCTCTATATATCTATGTAGATTTCTCTCTCTCTCTCTTTCTGTATCTCTCTCTCTCTCTCTCTCCCTCCCTCAGGGCTAGACCTAAACGGCGTTTTGGCGATCTCGTGGGCCGTTCTCGTTTCGATGTCGTTTTGCGGCAGAGGTGGACTGAAGACAAAACGAAGGAAAACGAAAACAAAGCGAAATCGAAAAACACCGTTTAGGTTCAGCCCTGCTCTCTCTCTCTCTCTCTCTGCGCGGTGCCCCAGGGGGGTGCTCGCAGGCGCCGCGCAAGCGCCCCTCTGGCCAGCGTCGCAGAGGCAGAAGCACAGTCGACCGGGACCTGCTCGGCAGGAGGCGCTCGTGGGAGGAAAGGCGCACGTGAGGATATCGAGGACCATTGTTTTTTTTTTCTTTTGTTTCTCTCTCTCTCTCTCTCTCTACCTGAGCTTAGGTCGGGCCTGTCCCCCTACAGGGAGAGTTTTGGGCGAGAGATCCAAGAAGAGTCCAACAGTCATCGAAACATGCTCAAACAGATCGTCCCCAGACCATGTTTGACAAGTCTTGGATCATCCCCCCTTGTGGAGGGACAGGCCCGACTTACACCTTAGCGCCGCGCGAGGGCTCCGCCTCCTCCATGACTACCTACCAGACCACCCCAACCCAACCCGAAGACCCGAATTTCGGGTTGGGGGGGGGGTAAGGGTTCCACGCGTGTTTTTTCGATGTCTCCCGACCCCCCCCCCACTAGAAATCGAGGGTAAATCTGAGCCTTCGGGTTGGGTTGGGGTGGTTTGGTGGGTGGTGACTCCAGCACCCCCGGCGCGCCCGGCCGCGCCACCCGCCTCGAGCCCCTGCAGGCCGCCGCCCCGCGCCAGCCCCGCCCGCTCTCGGCGCCCCGCGCGCCTATACAGGCCCCTTCCAGCCTCCTCCAATTCGCCATCCCTCCCTCCTGCTTCACCCATCATCCTTCCTCCTCCTCCTCCTCCTCCTCATCCTCCTCCTCCTCCTCCTCCTCCTCCTCCTCCTCCTCCTCCTCCTCCTCCTCCTCCGCCAGTCCTCCCGGCTCGGGCACCACGTGCCGTAGTGTCCGGTCCGTCGCACCGCTCTCGGCCACACGCCGGGGTCCGAGCGCGCTGCTGGCCCTGCCTGTTGTCGCCCTGCTGCGCCCCGCCGAGAAGCGACGTCGCGGCGCGGCGCTCGCCACCCCGCGCGACGGACCCGCGGAAGCCGCATCGCTGCACCTCTCGCTTCTCTCTCTCTGCTCTGCGCTCTCTGCCTCTTCTCCTTGTGGCCTCTCTCTCTTCTTGCAGCTCCTTTTGCCTCTCCTGCTTCTCGTCCTCTCTCTCTCTCTCTCTCTCTCCCTCTCCCTCTCTCTCTCCTCCTCGTTGCCCTCCTCGTTCTCTCTCCTCGCCCTCTCTCTCTCTTCCTCTCTCTCTCTCTCCTCCCCTCTCCTCCTCTCTCTCCTCCCCTCTCCTCCTCTCTCTCCTCCTCTCTCCTCCCCTCTCCTCCTCTCTCTCTCTCTCTCGCTCTCTCGTTGTCCTCCTCCCTCTCTCTAGCCCTGGCGGCCGCGGGCCCCCCCAGGGGGGGGAGCGCGGGCCCTGGGCCCCCCCGGAGGCGCTCTCTGCCGGTCCTCGGGGGCCCGTGGGGGGGCGGGCCCGCGCGAGCGCGCGCCCGGCGCCACGGCGAGGAGCCGCGGGGCCCGAGCCCCTCCGGGACCCGCTCGCCCCACGAGGAGGAGGAGGAGGAGGGGGAGGAGGAGGAGGAGGAGGAGGGGGAGGAGGAGGAGGGAGGAGGAGGAGGAGGAGGAGGAGGCGGAGAGGGAGGAGGAGGAGGGGGAGGGGAGGAGGGGGAGGAGGATGAGGAGTGAGGAGAGGAGGAGGGAGGAGGAGGGGGGGAGGGAGGAGGGCAGGAAGGATGAGGATGGGAGAGGGGGAGGAGGAGTGGGGGGAGGAGGCGGAGTGGGGAGGAGTAGGATGTAGGTAGGAGGGAGATGAAGGAGGGGGGGGAGGGGGGGGAGTCAGGGGGAGGAGGAGAAGAGTAGGAGGAAGGAAGGAGGTATGAGTAAAGAGGAGGGGAGGAGGTGAGGAGGCGCAAGGGATGGATGATGGTAGGTGAGGATTGGGGAGGGAGTAGGATGGGGGGGGGCGGCGGAGGAAGGAAGGGGCAAAGGAGGTGGGGAAGGAGGGGAGGATGGGTGGGGAGGGATGATTAAAGAGAGGAGGAGGAGGAAGATTGGGTGGAGTTGAAGAGGGTGGGGGGGGTGGTATGGTTGGGGGTAGGGAAAGAGTGATGGGGTGAATTGTACGAGGTCAGGTAGTGTTGAGTTTAGAAGGTGAGTGTTGATATGATGGGAGAACGTGGGGGGAGAGGGGGGTCGCCATGGGTTGGGTTGACCCCAAAAGGGGTTCCAGCGACAAGGGGGTGGTGCGATAGATTTCTGGTGCAAGACATCTCTGGGGTTGCAGTGTATCTGGGGCGTGCAGTACACTCTGGGGCGCGAGTGCATTGCTGGATGGTCGCGTGCAGTGCACTGCTCGCAATGCAGTGCAGAACACTTCCCCGGCGCAGTACATTTGCAGTACACTTGCCCCAGATATGTTGCGCCACCCCCTGTCAGCTGGACCCCCTTTTGGGCCCACCCAAGAACCCATGGCGACGCACCCCTCTAGTGTTATGATGGTCCTCCCTCCTCCTGCCTCCTTCTCCTCCTCCTCCTCCGCCTCCCCCTCCCTCCTCCTCTTCCTCCTCCTCCTCCTCCTCCTCCTCCTCCTCCTCCTTCCTCCGTCCCTCCCCTTCCTCCCCTCCTCCTCCTCCTGCTCCTGCTCGTCCTCCTCCTCCGCCTCCTCCCCCCCCCATTCTGGGCCTTTCCGCCGGTCCAGCACGACGACCGCCGCGGTCGTGCCGTCGAACAGCTCGTCCCGCAGGGCCGCCTCCGTCCACTGCTCCTCGAGGGGGCGAGGGGGGGTCGGGGGAAGGCCGAGCGCCACCTTGCTCATCAGCCGCGCCTGCCTTGCTCAGCCCTCCTCCCACCCTCCTCATCCCTCCCTCCCACCCTCCTCATCCCTCCTCCACACTCCCTCACTTATCCTCCTTCCGCCTCATCCTCCTCCTCCCACCTCCCTCCGTCCTCATCCCTCCCTCATCCCTCCCTTTTCCCTCCCATATCCATTCCCTTGCGTATCCCTTCTCCTCGTGTCTCCTCATCCCTCCCTCCTGCAGCACCCTCCCCCATCCTCCACGCGTCCCTCCCACTCTCTTCCTCCACCATTCCCCCATCACTGACTCCGCTATCCTCCCCTCCCTCCCCCTCCCCCTCCCCTCTCCTTCCTCCCCCGCCTCCCCTCCCTACACCCCATCAGTCCGCCTCCCTGCGCTCTCTCGCCCGGCTTCTGGCCCCCCCCCCCCCCCCCCCATTGGGAAAGAAAGAGAGTGCAGTCTGTGCCCTGCAAGCTGTGTGACGCGGCCCGCCGGGCGGGCACCCCAGGCGAGACCCCCGACACACACACCACACACACAATCACAGTGCGCACACCACACCGCACACACACACACCATCACACACACACACACACACACCACACACACACACACACACGCACACGCACACGCACACGCACGACGCACACGCACACGCACGCGCACATCGCACACTCACACGCCACACGCACACGCACACGCACACGCACACGCCACGCACAAACACGCACACCAACACACACTATCAGGCCACTCCTCCTCCTCCTCCTTCACCATCCTCCCTCCTCTTCTCTCCTCCTCCTCCTCCTCCTCATCCTGCTCCTATCCACCTCCTCCTCCTCCTCCTCCTCCTTCTCTCCTCCTCCTCCTCCTCTTATGCGGATGTCATTTGTCCTCCTCCTCCCCCTCCCCCTCCTCCTCCGCCTCCTCTCCTCCTCTCCTCCTCCTCCTCCTCCACCTGCTCCCCAGCCCCCCTCCTCCTCCTCCTCCCCTCCTCCCTCCTCATCCTCCTCCTCCTCCCTCCTCCTCTTTACTACTGCTCCTCCGCCTCCTCCTCCTCCTCCTCCTTCTCCTCCTCCTCCTCCTCCTCCTCCTTCTCCTCCTCCTCATCCTCCCACGTCCATCTCCTCCTCCTCCTCCTCTTCCTCCTCCGCACAGGGGCGGAACCCAGGCAGACCCATTCGCGCGACCCCGCACAGGGCAAAGCTTCCGGATGCGTGGGCGCAGCGCGGCGCATTACTTCACACACTGCTTGGCATGTGGCTTGGCATTACTTGACACTGGGTGGCAGCACTTGGCATTGCTTGACACTGCGTGGCAACAGTTTGCCTTGCTTGGTATTGCTTGGCATGACTTGGCCTGGCATTGCTTGGCATTGGTTTGCAATGCGTGGCATTGCTTTGCAGTGCGTGGCGGTACCCCAAGGAGCCAAGCCCAAGGAACCAAGACCAAGCAACCAAATAACCAAGACCAAGGAACCAAGAACCCAAGACGGAGAAACCAAAGAACCAAGACACCAACACCAAGGAACCAAGAGAACCCAGGCAATGTCTTGTGAGGAAACAAGGCCTTGGACCCCCCAATACCCCCAACGAAATGCAACAACACCAAAGAACACTGGGAACTCCGGCGACCACCGCGTGAAGAACGCAATTCCTTCACAAGCAAATCAGAACCACTAACGCAAAGCCTCATTGAGAATTAAGTCGGGTAGGCCATAAGAAAGCAGTGGCAAGCACTGTGTGGGTACATTCAGCATGCTCTTCCTGAGTTTCCCCCTCCCTCTACAACTCTTTGGCCACCTCCGAAATCGTCCGCGCACCTCCAGGATCTGTCGATCGCATCTGAAGACGTCATCCTGCTCCCACCTCAAACTCCTCCATCGCCCACCCCCCGTAGATAGGTAGCGAAGTCGTCAGATAGAGACGACTAGTGAGATGGGTAGGAAGTTAGCAGGGCCGATCTGCGCTTCGACAACCAAGTCTACCACATATATATACACATATGTATGTGTGTTGAGACATGGCGGTAGATAGATGGAGACAGATTGACTGATAGCGATACACATATGCCTGCAATCTATGTATACCTACACATAACTACGAAGTGATATAGAACGATAGGTGCTTATACGGGCAAACTTATGTATCGACCAAGAGGCGGCAACACATGGTGGTGTCCCGATGTGCCAACTCGTGAACTGAGGTGTGCACCCCATATGTCAAGGATGCCGTCACCCACCCAAGAACTTCGTGACCACCGTCTATGAAGTATGCGTGCGTGTGTCTGACGTCTAATGCACTTGTGTACGACCACTCATGGCCGTCTATACACATACACTCCCCTTCATACACCGAACACAAACGTATGGACAATGTGAGAACCACCGGGATAGTGGAATACATCGAACAAACTATGGGGGCAATCGTCGGGGAAACAGGCTGCCTAGAGCAAGTATTACTCTATCAGTATCTATCGAACTCAATGCCAATCTAGCTATATCACTATCAACATACATACATATATATATATATAAATATCTCGATAACAAACTTTGTTTATCGGGCATCGGGCAAATCATCGGAACAACTATCGTGACAGCCATAGGCATAACCATCGTGGCAACAATCGGGACAACCATACACCACCCTCCCCTTCATGCTCCTCCATTCTCTCTTCATCAGTATCCTTGATCTGCTCATCCAACATCCTCATCTGCCACCTCCTGCACTTGATCATTCTCCTCCTCTTCCGCATTCCTTCCTCCACTCCTCAATTCCTCGATAGAGCGGAGGGGGCGTTTCTGCGCCCGCTCCTCCGTGCGAACGATGGCATCCCTCAGGGCCTCCAGGGGGTCGGCCACCAACCTGTTGAAGTCCTGCGCCAGCAGGCTGTACATGCGCTCGCTGGAAAACTCGGCCGCCTGCGAGCCTGGGTGAGTGGAATAAGGGCACAGAAGCAATTGTTGCAGAGCTCGTCGCGGATTCCTGGGTTCGGCGCAACACCCCTCGATGATCCTCAGAGCATGTGTTGGCGCCCACGCGTGCTCGTCCACCGAAGACCTGCCGTACGACGCAGACAGGGCTGGCACGGGCTGCGTGGTGTCGGATGAGCTGAACGGGGTAACACACACACAGGGGTACAACCAGACCTAGGGAAGAACATCCCTCAAAAACACGAGACTCCCCGCCGGCAACAACACGGAAAATCCAAGGGTGTCCTCCCCAGGATGGATACACCAGAACATCCAACAATACGAAGAACGTTAGGATACCCTCCCCAAAACGACCTCGATCTCATACCTCGGTCCGGATGTAACACACGTCCTGAGGATCATCGACCCCCTCCCCACCGCCCCGGGCGGTGACTCTGGCCCCACCGAGGACGCGCTAAGCGCGAGGGTCTGGAGGGCCGACCCAAACAAATCCGCGCAGACTGTGCTGATGCAGTGTTTTCTTCTTCGAGAACCGCCGTGCCCGTCGAAGACGCCGAAGAAGGACATGTGCCCCAGCGCCTGTGCCCATGAAACGCCAGAAGAAGCCGGACTGCCGAACGACGTAACTGGTCGAGCGCTGTCCAAGCTTGCATATCTGCCACCGCTGAACGTGACAGACGTACGTGCCGGCGTGACCATCATATTAGCACCGTCATCGTCATCATCATCATCATCATCATCATCACCACCATCATCATCATCAGCAGCAGCATCAGCATCATCATCATCATCGTCATCGTCATCGTCAACGTCATCATCAGCATCATCATCATCATCATCATCATCGTCATCGTCATCGTCATCGTCATCGTCATCGTCAACGTCGTCGTCGTTGTCATCATCATCGTCGTTGTCAGGGTAGCACCCCAACTGCCGTCGTTGAATCGAGTCCGACTGGGAATGGGGGGGCGCACCTTGACGCAGCAACTCCAGCCCGCTACACCGCATCGCCGCGCACAATGCCTGACAATCTCTCTCTTTCCCGCCCCGTAAAATGAGAATTTCCAATGACTTGACCAATGTTCTGTCCCGTCGATGATTTGACCAAAGTAAGCTGCGATTATGTCCCGCCAATGATTTGACCAATGTTCTCGTCATCACCGTCATCATCGCCATCGTCTTTAACAAACTCATCGTCATCACCCCCATTGCCGTCAACGATCATTGTCGTCATCGACATAGTCATCGTCGACATTCGTGTCGGCATGATCTTCAAACTCATCGTCGGCGTCGTCATCATCGTCATCGTGGTTTATAGCTCTACATTGCAATCGTCATGGGACCCGTCGCCGTCGTCGTATCATCACCATCGGCGCCATCAGCACCATCATCATCATCATCATCATCATCATCATCATCATCATCATCATCATCATTATTATCACCATCATCACCACCATCATCTTCTGAATCATCATCATCATCAGCATCATCACCATCATCAGGAGCCCTTCCTGGGCACACGATCGGTGCAGACGCCAACCTGGCCGGGCCTGGGGGGGCCGATGCACCGATCCTGGGCCCAAGATGGGCCTGGCCAGGATCGGTCGACCGAGGCATCGAGGACCCCAGCGCCTTGCCGACTCGCAGCAGCGCCAGCAGGGCAAGGCCGTCGTCGTCGCCGCCCCTCGGCCTCGTCGTCTCGTCGTCGTCGTTGTTGCCGTTCGTCATCGTGGTCGTCCGTCGCCGCCGCCGTCGTCGTCGTTCGTCGCCATTCGTCGGTCGTCGTTCGTCGTCGGTCGTCGTGGACATCATCGAGTTGTCGTCGTCCTCGTCCTCGCTCCGCGAGGTGCTGGGGCGACCGCTGATAATAGGGCAGCCCGGGCGCCTTGCCCACGCCGAGCAGCGCCGGCGAGGCGGGGGAGGTCGCCTGCCCGTCGTCCCCAGAGGGGGTGGCGGGCCGGTGGACGTCGAGTACAACCCGGTGCGCGTCCTCGGGGCCGTGGCGGTCGCCGTCGCCGTCGTCGTCGCGGTTGTAGTAGGAATCTTCGCTCTCGTCGTCGTCGTCGTTGTCCTCGCCCTTGAGGTCGTCGCTCTCGTCGTCGTCGTCCTCGTCGTCGTCGCTGGCCGTCGCAGTCGTCGCAGTCGTCGCTCTCGTCGTTGTCGTCGTCATCATCGTCGTGGTCGCCGTCGACGTCGCGGTCGTCGTCGTCGTTGCCGCCGCCGTCGTCGCCTGCGGCGTCGCCTGCAGCGTCGTTAGCGTTGTCGTCGGCGACGGTCGTCGTCGTCTTCGCTTCCTCAAGAAAAGCATGCTTCCCAGGCGTGCGGCTCCAGTGGGCTGCCAGTCCATTTGCAATTTCCCAAAACAATCTCTAAAGCAGATTCCACTTGGCCGACCCACTCTTCCTCAGCTGGTTCGTTTCGCCCATTGTCCTCAAGTACCTGGCATCATGGTCTGGAAAACGTAGCCTGGCAATGCTTCCTGATGGCACGTAAGACCACCAAGGCCCTCCTCGCCGCCACCTGCGCCAGCCTCATCGTAGTTATTATGACCATCATCAGCATCAGCAGCATCATCAACATCATCAGCAACAGCATCATCGTCAACATCATCCTCGCTTTCGCCGTAATCACCTTCATCATGACCGAGATCAGCATCGTCATCAACATCATCAACATCATCATCATCAGCATCAGCAGCATCAGCATCAGCATCATCATAAGCAGCATCATCATCGTCATCGTCATCGTCATCGTCATCGTCATCATCAGCATCAGCATCAGCATCATCATCAGCATCATCATCATCATCATCATCAGCATCAGCATCAGCATCAGCATCATCATCATCATCATCCTCGTCATCATCAGAATCAGCATCAGCATCAGCATCAGCATCATCATCAGCATCAGCATCATCAGCATCAGCATCAGCATCAGCATCAGCATCAGCATCACCAGCATCAGCATCAGCATCAGCATCAGCATCAGCATCAGCAGCATCAGCATCAGCATCAGCATCAGCATCAGCATCAGCATCAACATCAACATCAGCATCAGCATCAGCATCAGCATCAGCATCAGCATCATCATCATCATCATCATCATCATCATCATCATCATCATCATCATCATCATCATCATCATCACAGTCGCCATCAATATCACATGATCACAGGGGGGCACGGAGCGCAGACCAGCCGTGGGCTTGGAGCCCGCACTGCAGCGTGCATGGCCCAGGCCTCTGGCGGCAGGACACCGATGCCCCGCGGCGAGGGCTGGCCCGACGAAGCGAGCGGCAGCGGCCGGTGTGCCTCCCCGGGGTGTCCGAGGGCGAGGCCAGCCACCTGGCCTGAGCGTCGGCACGGAGGAGGGCCGGCATCGAGCACCTGGAGGTCGTGGACCAGCAGGGTGCGTGAGCGGGTCTGATTGGAGTGGAGGCGCGCGCAACGGGGCATGGGGGAGGGGCGAGGGCTTCTTGCTGCCCCGGGACGAAAGCTCTTTCCTCTTGGGCACGTAACGACGGCTTGAAGCCTTGAGCAGACGCGTAGGAGGTAACCACCGCGGGATCCAACTAACTTCGTGCGGATTCAATTTGGGTGTTGGTTCCTGTTTCGGTGGATCCAATTTACGTCCGCGCGGATCCGACTTCGAATGTTCTGGATCCGCGTCCATTCCTTTTTTCACGCCGGATCTGATTCCTGCCCCGTTTGAAATTATGATAATAAATCACAGAGTGGGGAACCGGAAGACATCGAATCTGCGGACCCGGGAACCCGCCCGTGTCTAGATTCTACTGGGGAAGGGGGTTCGGTCATCAGAGTCATGAGCTTCCCAAGATGGGCCCTGAAGTGTCCCACGCACCACCACCAGCTTTCCACGAGCGCGGGCCCCACTCATCACGAATACACATCTCTCCTCCCGCTTGCTGCACGCAGCTCGTCCAGACGCCGTCCGTTCGGCGCCGCCGATTTTATATCTCGCAAACTCCTCATCGCCATGTTCACATCAAGAGGAAAACCCCTCGTCCTGCGCAGCGTGGAAGGAGGCTGCTCCTCAGAGGGCGCTGGCCTTAAATCTGTAGATCACACCCGGGCTTTCCAAGAAGCAGGGGTGCTTCTGAGAGGCCTTTTCCCCCCTCCCCCTGCAGTCAGCCCGTACAGCAAGGAATGCGCGGTATAAGGATGCACAAGGCCTTGGACGCCCACTTCGAAGCTCGTCGAGCCGGGCGCATCCAACGAAAGTCGCGAAGGATGGACCGATGAGGCAAGGATGACCTACGCGGGCTGACTGCGCCCGAGGAGGAGGAGGAGTAGGGGGAGGAGAAGGCGGAGGCGGAGGCGGAGGGGGAGGCGGAGGCGGAGGAGGGGGAGGGGGAGGGGAGTGGGGATGAGGGAGGAAGGAGGAGGCGGGGAGGGAGGGGTGAGGATGAGGAGGACTGAGGAGGGGAGTGAGGAGGAGGAGGAGGAGGAGCCTCCGCGCGTGGCTGCTCCGAACCTGCCGCGCGCGGGGAGGCGAGCCGCCCGACGCCCCGTGCCCCGCGGGGCCGCGGCGGAGCAGCGGCGGCGGCGGCCCCCGGTGCAGAGGCGCGGCTGCCCTGGGCACCGCTGGGCCCGCTGCCCCCTGCGGCCACGGCGGCGGGGGTTCTGGGCGTCGCTGGAAGGGGGGAGGAGCGATCAGTGGGGGCAGGCTCAAGTCGGGCCTGTCCCCCTACAGGGGGATTTTCGACGAATATATATATATATATATATATATATATATATATATAAATACCCCAAACATTAACACAAATAATCCAAAAATAGTAGGGGAACTATTTTGTTGAATATGGTTTGACCTTGTTGGGGCATTTTTGAGATATCTGTTGTTCATTGTTCACCCAAAATCCCCCTGTAGGGGGACACGCCCGAAATAAGGGTAGGCGCCGCGCCGGGGGGGGAAGCGAGCAGGGGCGGGCCTTCTCGGGAAGCTCGCAAGGCCTCGGGCCTGCCGAGAAGCGTTCGAGGCCTTCCCGGAAGACAGAGGAAACTGCTCAGAAGGCCGGAGGGGTTCTGCGAAGCCACGCCGCATGCTGAGAAGGCCTTCTCCTTCCCACTTCCCCCCTCGCTCGCCGCCGAGGGAGGGGAAGGCCGGTGCACTCCTCGGGTCCGAGAGGCACCCTTTCGGGCCCATTTCTGGTGCCGGGGAGGGGGGACATCACACGTCTTGATATGCCTACGGATTGCCAGAGAAGCGATGGAACTGCACGCTTTTCTCTGCATGGCGTCCGGCTGCCATTAAAGCCATGAAACACCACACATGTTGTTTTACGGTTTTACGGCGTCCGGTTACCATAAAAACCATGGAACAACACACGGGTTTGCACGGCGACGGGTTGCCATAAAAAAAAAACCATACACGTCTTGACATGCCTACTCGTTGCCAGAGAAGCCATGGAACTGCACGCTTTCCTCTGCATGGCGTCCGGCTGCCATACAGACCATGCAACACCACACGTGTTTGTATGTCGCCCAGTGAACAGAAAAGCCATGGAACAACACACACGTGTTTTAAATGGCGTCCGGTTGCCAGAAAAGCAATGAAGCACACGTGTTGGCATGGCGTCAAATTGCCATAAACACATGGAACACCACACGTGTTTGTATGGCGTCCGGTTGCCATATCTATATATATAACATTAAACATCACACGTGTATTTACGGCGTCGGAACATCACACGTGTTTTATATGGCTTCCGGTTGCCATAGAAAAACATGGAACATCACACGTGTTTTATATGGCGTCCGGTTACCATAAAAAAGGAACACAACGCACGTGTTTGTACGGCGTCGGGCTGCCCAACAATAACATGGAACACCACGTGTTTGTATGGCTTCCGGTTGCCCTAACAACAATGAAGCTCGGGGGGGCACTTATGGGGGGTGACCGACATGGGGGGGAAAGAGAAGGGCCCAAGAGGGCCTCTTTAGGGCCCCTGCTGGAGCGAGCAGGGGCCCCCAAAAGGCCCCAAAGAGGCCCTTTCGGGCCCTGTTCTTTACTTCTCATGTAGGTCACTCCCCATTAGTGCCCGCTTGAGGAGCGTCACATGTTTTTTTTTGCACGGCAGCCAGTCATTAGCCACAACAAAACATGTGAGACGTTCTGGCTCCTCGCGCTCCTACAAAGGAGGCCAGTCCACAAGAAACCTTCCACAAGAAACCCAACCCCGAGACTCCAGGACGACCATCACTTTCTGGTGTGGGAACGCCACGCTTTCCATAGCAAAGCTATCGAACACACAAGAAACCGAGGGCACCCTGGAGGCAAGCAGGGTGTTTCTTGGCATGGGTCTCCACTGTAGGCTGGAGCCGCCTCCGCGGGCGCCCCAAGCGGTTTTTTGGCAGAACAAACAAAAAACCCAACAAACATTCAGAAATAATCAACGACATCTGCTCGACAAATCGTCCCCCGATGAGCTCTGCACCAAATTTTTGAAGATGCCTTCCGTGGGGGCACGTGCCCTCCTGCAGGCGGATTCGGGCAGATCAATGAAACACTGTCCCAACAAAATTGGGAAACAACCGACAACATATCGGGCCAGGCGAAAGGGGGGGGGAATAGCATAGGGGGGGGGGTTCAGGATCAGCTCACGTAGCTTTCCCGGCGCCTCCCGGCGCCGGGAGGCGCCCATGCATCGAGGCATGGTCCCGGCGCCGGGGCCGAAACCAGCTGCATGCAGCAGATTTCGTACCCCCCCCTTTCCCTATGGGCCCTTTTCGTTCGGCCCGAACCATATACTAGAAACATCAAGGGCTCCTAAGTTCGCGCTTCGCGCTGCGCGAAGCGCGAATAACTTCGCGCTCTCGCGCCGCCCTCCCAAAGGGAGAATAGGAGGACGAGGAGGAGGGGGAGAAGGAACGAGGACCGCGAAGCGCGAATAACTTCGCGCCCTCGAGGGAGCCCTTGAAACATCGTCCCAAGCGTGGTGAAGGCCACAAGCGTGTGGCAGGCCACAAGCGCGTGGCAGGCCCAGCGCCCTGCGCTGGAGGCGGACCACGGAGGGCGGCGGTGCCGTTTTCCAGCACTCGTGGCTCCCTCTGCGCGGGGGGCCACCGTGGTGCAGAGCGCGATGACAGGCAGGCGCTGGGCCGATGCTGCGGTGAAGGACTCTTACGGGCGGTGAACCTAGATCCTGAGCATCGTCGCCGGCATCGTCGTCGTCATCACCGTCACCACAACCACACTCATCGTCCGCTATCATCCTCATCATCCTATTCACCCAACTCATCCTCCTCCTCCTCCAACTCCGTCTCTCTCCTCCTCCTCCTCCTCCTCCACCTCCTCCTCATCCTCCTGCTCCTCCTCCTGCTCCTCCTCTTCCTCCTTCTCCTCCTCTTCCTCGTCCTTGTCCTCGTCCTCGTCCTCCTCCTCCTCCCCCTCCTCCGCCTCCTCCTCCTCCTAACCCGGAGAAGCAATTAAGGAACCCCCCGGCGTTATCATTAGCACCGCGCCGTAATTAAATAATTATTTGGGGGGGGTTCGCCGAGCGATATTATTAGCACCGCGCAAATGGAAGGAAAATAAATAATTCCAGCGCCCCGCCTCGGGTGGCATCCCAATTAGAACTGTAATGAAAATAAGAATACGAATACGAATAAGGAAAAACTGAGAGAAGCTAAGGAAAAGCTTAGGAAAGCTAAGAAAAAGCTGAGAAAAGCTGAGGAAAGCTAAGGAAAGGCTAAGACAAGCTAAGAAAAAGCTGAGAAAAGCTCAGGAAAAGATCAAGAAAAGCTGAGAAAAGCGAAGAAAAGCTAAGGAAAAGCTAAGGACAACTAATGAAAAGCTAAGGACAACTATTGAAAAGCTAAGGAAAAGCTAAGGAAAACTAAGGAAAACTTAAGAAAAGCTGAGGAAAACTAAGGAAAAGCTAAGGAAAAGCTAAGGACAACTAAGGAAAAACTAAGGAGAACTTGTGACCCTCGCAGTGACCCTCGCAGAGTACCCCCAAGGCCTGAATATGGAGGAAGTCCAAGGCGGGAGCCTTGTCTGTGAGCGCGTCCTCCTCCGTGTCCTCCTCCTCCTCTTCCTCCTCCTCCTCCTCCTCCTTCTCTTCCTCCAGCCCCCATTTTTCTAATGAGATTTCTATTGCAACCCCTTTGGAACAATTATTTTTTTCGGCCGTCGTAGGAGGTGGTCCATCCCAGGGTATCGCCCCCGCCCCGCACCGCGGCGTTATCTTAGCACCCGGCAGGACCAAAATAAATCCCCGAGCCAGAGTAGGAGTGGATCAGTGTACATGGTTACGGCACCGAACAGCGAGAGTCGAGCACTGGAAAGACGCGTGGCCACTGAAGCTCTCTGACTCCTCCGCATGCGTTTCCTCATTCTTTCAGGAGGGTGTACCCCCTCCTGGTGCCAGGATAACGCTTCCGGGTGCCGGGTGCGTTATCTTTTCACCGGAGAGGGGGGGGGGGGGGTGTTCCTTAATCGCTTATCCGGGTTACTCCTCCAACTCCTCCTCGTCCTCCTCTCCGTGTTTGGGTGCCAGCTGGACGAGTTGCAACAACAGACAGAATTCGCCGCCTCCCCTCGACACCTGACACTGTGGGCAGGCTTCCCATGACGATCAGTATGCCCTCGAGCCTTGCTCTCCCCCCCGCCCCAGCCGAGATGCTGCGGAAGGGCAGAATGACATTGTAAAGTTCACACGGAGAAGGAATAGAAGGGGGGTCGTTTCCAAGAGCGATGACACACTTACAGACGAATGCATGGTGAAGAGGTATGTTTGGGTGACGATACACCGTATGGAGGATACACCGGCGGCCGCAGACGTTTCAAAACACTCCAAAGCGCTCTGGGCGGGTTCCAGAACGCTCTGGAGCTCTAGATCTCATCCCGGGTCTGTCTGACTCCTCTCCGGGCGTCCCCTCCTCCTCCATCCGCCTCCTCCTCCACTGGAATCCTCCATCTCCGGTCTGAGGCCCTGGATGGAATGCACCCCGTACTGCAGCGCCTGGCACAGCGAGACAACCCTAGTAGTGGACTTCTGCCCGCTGTTCAGGCCCTCGGTGTACGTCCTCGGCGAACACAGGAGGCCCGACGGTGAGGGGCAGCCTTACGCTCCTACTCCTCCTCCTCCTCCTCCTCCTCCTCTTCCTCCTCCTCCTCCTACTCCTCCTCCTCCTCCTCCTCCTCCCCCTCCCTTCTCCTCCTTCTTCTCCTCCTCCTCCTCCTCCTCCTCCGCCTCCGCCTCCGCCTCCGCCTCCTCCTCCTCCTCCTCCGCCTCCTCCGCCTTCTCCTCCTTCTCCTCCTCCTCCGCCTCCCTCGCCTCCGCCTCCGCCTCCTTCTTCTATTCCTCCTCCTCCTCCCCTTCCTCCTCCTCCCCTTCCTCCTCCTATTTCTCCTCCTCCCTCCTCCTCCTCCTCCTCCTCCTCCTCCTCCTCCTCCTCACCTCTCCTCCTCCTCCTCCTCCTCCTCCTCCGCCTCCTCCTCCTCCTCCTCCTCCTCCTCCTCCTCCCCCTCCCCTCCTTGAGTCCTCCGCCTCCTCCCTCCTCCTCCTCCCTCCTCCTCCTCCTCCCTCTCCTCCTCCTCCTCCTCCTCCTCCTCCTCCTCTACCCTCTCCTCCTCCTCCTCCTCCTCCCCCTCCTACTCCTACTCCTCCTCCTCCTCCTCCCCCTTCTCCTTCTTTTCTCCTCCCCCTCCTCCCCCTCCTCCTCCTCCATCTTCTTCTCCTCCTCCTCCTCTGGAGTTGCCTTGCCGACAGAGATCGGCGATATAGTCGGCCCGCATCAGAAGGATGCGCGATAAGACTGCAAACGGGCCTGGGACGCCCACTTCGAAGCTTCCCGAGCGGGGCGCGACCGACGAAAGTGGCCGGGGATGGGCCGAGGAGGCAAGGATGCAAAAAGAGGCTTGGGATGGTTGCCCATCCTTTCTATGCGGGTTGACTGCGGGCCCGCACGATGGCGAAGCCGCCCGCTCCTGGGCGGCGTGGGACCCGCGGGCCCCCCACGCGGCGAGGAGCGGGCGACGGAGGGTCGAGGCGCCCCCCCCCTCCAGGAGCATATCGCTCCCCGACGCTGCCCCCGGAAAGGGGCCCCGAAGGGAGGCGCCCAAGGGGGTGCGGTGAAAGGCTTCGGGTTGCGCACAGGCAAAGAGGAGGAGGAGGAGGAGGAGGAGGAGGAGGAGGAGGAGGCACGAAGCGGAGGAGGAGGCACGAAGCGGAGGAGGAGGAGGAGGAGGAGGAGGAGGAGGAGGAGGAGGAGGAGGAGGAGGAGGAGGAGGAGGACCCCCCAAGCAGGCCTGCCCGGCCTCCGCGGGCCCCCCGAGGAGCCCCGGGCGGCCGCAGCACCTCGGCCCGGGGGCGCGCGGGGCGCCCCCGGGGGGGGGCCGCCGGGAGCGGCGCCCGGGGCGCCGAGGCCGCCCGAGGGCTAGAGTCATCGCTTAGTGGGCCCTGGAACCGACTGGGCCGTTTTTGTTGCCGGTTCCGTTCTGCCGTTTTTTCGCCGGTTCCGACGCCGTTTTGTTACCGGTTCCGTCGCCGTTGTTTGACCGGTTTCGGCTCCGGGTCCAATCCTGGAGCCGTTTTTTTGCCGCTTCTGGTCGCCGTTTTTTTGCCGTTTCCATTTTCAAGGGACTCTTTTTCGGAAACGGTGAAAAAAAAACGGCCCTGCCGTTGTTTCTGGGGCCCACAAAGGGCTAGAGTCATCGTGCTACCAGAAGGAACCCATGATAAGGAACCATGGTACAGTCGGCCTTGCTTGGGCAGGGCACGCGGGAGGACTCGAGCCCCTTCCGAGGGCCACAACGCCATGGGAGCGTAAGAGGGCACGTGTCGCGAGGCACAGGACACAAGGGTACCCTTGAGCTGGCAGGGGCCTCTGTTGAGGCCAGCTGGGCCTACAGTTAAGTCGGGCGTGTCCCCCTACAGGGGGATTTTCGACGAAACATAAAAAGTACTCAAACGTCATCCAAAATGGTCAAACCAATACTCGAAAAATAGTCACCAGGCTATGTTTTGACTATTTTTGAATACTCGTCATGTAGAAGGACAGGCCCGACTTAAGGCTACAGTAATCGTGCTACCAGAAGGAACCCATCAGAAAGAACCCATGATTGAGGAACCCATCCTTGTTTCAGCGTCTTGACCGCAAAGGAGGCCGGTCCACGATAGACCCTCCACGAGAAACCCAACCCCGAGACCCCAGGACGTCCGTCGATGTTCGGCGTGGGAACGCCGCGCTTCTCACAGCAGAACCATCGAAGCCCAAGAAACTCAGGGCACCCTGGAGGCAAGCGGGGTGTTTCTTGGCATGGGCCCCCACGATACCTCGCCTTCTTGCCTTAAGTCGGGCCTGTCCCCCTACAGGAATATTTTCGACGAAAAACCAACAAATACTACAAAACTACACCAAAAAGGTCAGAAAATACAAAAAACATTCCCCTGATGTTTTGTTTCCTTACTTTTGGGGTATTTTCTATTTTTCGTCGAAAATGCCCCTGAAGGGGGACAGGCCCGACTTAATTCTTGCCCGTCACCTGTTCGACGGACGGAGAGCACGATACCAGGAAGCGCTCCGAGACGCGGAGGGAGCAAACAGGGCGCCGCCGGGCCCGCGGCTTCAACGACTCGCAACCGAGCGCGCCACCGGGAACCGCCCCCCGCCCCTCAATCCTTGAGCAGGGACCGACCGTGCCCGAATTCCTATATATAGGCCTACCCCGAAATGTTCTTAGACTCCAAAACGTCGAAAAACAAAAGAAAAGGTTCTCAAAACATGAACCACCCGATGTGTTCAAACAAGACCGTCTTGGCCAGAAATGTTCTAGCATTTCGTTCGTAGAAAACTCAAAAGGTTCTTAGAACATTGTTTGGTGGGCCTATGGGCAAGCCAGGACGCTTCGCCACTGCTTGAAACCCGCTGGCAACGTCACGATGCGCCCCAGGGCCGTCGGCGAACGAAGAGGGGGCAGATGATGTCCAGACGGAGCCAGCGAGACTCGTGGCGCTATACCGGCCCCCTCCAGCCCCCCTCTCTGGTCACGGTCGTCCTCCTCCTCCTCCTCCTCCTCCTCCTCCTCCTCCTCCTCCCCATCGCCGTCGTCGTCGTCGTTGTCCTCCTCCTCCTCCACCTCTTCCACCTCCTCCTCCTCCGCCTCCCCGTCCTTCTCCTCCTCCTCCTCCTCCTCGTCCTCCTCCTCCCCGTCGTCGCCCTCCTCGCCCTCCTCCCCTGTCGCGAGAGGGCGAGACCAAAACAGCTCCAGAGAGCGGCGGGGGCCGAGGGGGGACGGGGAGCAGCGACGAAGGAGCCGCTGCGCAGAGGCGGGGGGAGCACAGCCACGGCGCCCCCGGCGACACATTTTTATTCCGCAGCGCCGGCCACCAGAGATCTCGACCCCTTCTCCGGGACTGGGAGAAGGAGGAGGAGGAGGAGGAGGAGAAGGACGGGGAGAAGGAGGAGGAGGAGGAGGAGGAGTTCTGGGGTTCTGGGTATGGCGACAGTGTCGGTTGAGGAGGAGGAGGAGGAGGAGGAGGAGGAGGAGGAGGAGGCCCCTCGGAAAACCCCACCCGGAACCCGGTTCTTATCTGGAGTCGTTTATTGACGGCCCAAAGGCCCGGTCAGGGCCCCAGAGGCCGAAGATAGCGAAAAGCCTCCCGTCGCGATTTTTGTCACAACGCGAAGGGGTCTGGGAGGGGAAGATTCGGGGACGCACTGACCGGGGTCGATGCAAACCCGGGCCAATCAGGCCATGCGCAGGATGCTGCAGGGTCCTGCAGGATCCTGCAGGCAAACCCGGCCCAATGCAACGCTGGCGTTGCAGGATCCTGCCAGATCTGGACCCCCGTCTCGAGGCTAGTGAATTCGTCTGTCACCGGCGACCTCCGGCCACTTGCCACGAGCTATATCTGTGGGGGGTCCCGCCTCGCGGGCGCGGCTCATCCCGAGCCCTCCGCGGAAAGGCCGCCCCCGCGACGCTCCCCCTCCGAGCCCGCGTTCGGCCGCCGCTACTGCGAAGCCGAGCGAGCTGAGATCCAGCAGGGCCGCGGGAACCGAGCCCGTTCGACGGCGCTCGCCAAGAGGTCACATCGACTACACGCACGAGTGATCCTGCGGTAGGTTAGTGCGGCATCGGCGCGGACAAAGGTTTTTGACACCGCGTCGAGCGTTCCGGCTTGAACTGATCGCGCCCCCCATCGTTTAATGCTGAATCCCGTCGGGCTCTGTGGCGTTGCCGTGTCCCTCGGTACTTACGCGTCGCTCGTCGTGCAGAATTCAGCTTTGGACGCCTTCGCCAGCGTCGCCGGCGCGCCACCTACCCTGGGCAAGAGTGACCTCTGGTACCAGACTCTCGGGTCCCCCGGGGACCCCAGTGCTCCCGCACCAAAGGCCCCTCTGGCGCAAGGTCACTCTCACGCGTAACCGAGCTCAGGCATAAGGGAGTCCCCGGGCCCTGGTCTTGGAGGCAAAACGTGACAACAATAAAGTTTGAAGCCTGCATCGACGTCCACAGCGGCATCGCCATCGGCGAGGATGATCCCAGACCCCCAGCGTCGTGATTTGTTCACAACGTCGACCCCTTCTCCAGGACCAATTCTTCATCCTGAGTCGTTTATGTTGACAGTCCCGAGGCCCAGTTGGGGCCCCTGGAGGCCGACAATTGCACAAAACCTCCCGACGTGATTTTCTCACATCACGAGGGGGTATGAAATGACGATGCCGACGACAGCCACATACCATCATGCTGGCTCCCCGGGAGAAGAGCGAGGACGAGGGCATGCGCCCATGAGGTGGAACGCTAGGGGAACCAGCACGCGCGGGAAACACCTCACGCTGGAATCGGCGACAAGGTCGACACGGTTGCACCTGGGACAGAACAGAGCCCTTCGAGCGTACGAGACTCCCGCCAGCCAAGCCGACGAACCTTCGAGGCTGCCCTCCCCCAGGAGGCACGAGAGCTCCCCACGGGCACGAAGAACCTCAGAGTGGCCTCCCTGACCAGACCTCGACATACCTCGGTCCGACCGTACAGTCATCGGCCTGACCTAAGGAACGATAAATCAGGAACGAAGCCCCTTTTCTCCAGGGAACAACGCACAAGGAACGATACATAATACATCATGCGTACGGAACGATACATGGAACGACCGAGCCCCTCTTGAAAAGTAAGCGTTCCTTATTCGAGCCGCTCACTGCATTGGGGGGCGGAAAGATACGGATACGTGTTGTCCCCGGACCTCTCTTGGGGCGCGCTCTGCCCAGAATTTCGAGGCGAATCCAGCGGCGACAACGAGGATTCCCCAGGAGGACCAGGAGAGGCCGAAAACGAAGGTGGACAACACGTATCCGTATCTTTTTCTCCCCCGACTGTAGATCGACGGCGGGCCCCAGACGGCGATGTGGGCGGGCTGGGCCTGCCGGACCCAGGCGGGCCGGGCCCTCCTCGGGCCCCCCCTCGGCCCCGAGAGCGGGCGCCCCCGGGGGGGGGGCTGAAGCGTCGGGCCCCCCTGGGCGATCCGTGGGCGACCGGGGGCCCTGACCTTCCAGGAGGGCAACAAGAATAGCACGCAACCTAAAAGCCTATCCCAGAGCTATTCTGCGTCTTGGTTTTAGGCTGTTTCGTCTCGTTTTTTAGGTCTCTAGGTCTCCAGTGCTAAAAAATAGCTCTCTGGAAGGTCAGGGGGACGTTGCATCCCGCCCGGAGCCTACAGCCTCCCCAGCGTGGCCCGGGACCCCCGACCTCGGGAGGAGGAGCGCAGGGGGCGAGGCAGGCCCGCAGCGGCAGGGGGGCAGCGGGCGGGCGCGGAAACACGGGAGCGAGCTGGCGAGCGAGCAGGGGGCCCAGGGAGTCGGAGGGGTCAAGAGCGCCCAGACAGCTCAGGGCCTAGACGACGACGACGACGACATCGGCAGCGGCGGCGACGACCACGACGGTATCGGCATCGGCATCGACGTCGATATCGGACGGCAGCAGGGGCCATCTCGCCGGCGACGGCGACAGCGACCCGTGGCCGCAGTGCTCCTCAACAGTTCCACGCCGCTGCCCGGGGGGGCGCCGAAGGTTGGGAGGATAAACAAAGATTGAAAACGCAACTTCACGGATCCTCCTGGGGTGCGCTCTGAGCAGAATTTTGAGGCGAACCAGGAGGGCCTCCCAGCAGGCCCCAATAGGGGAGACCTGGGCAAAGGCAAGGTGGTATCGGAACCTTTTCTTCATCTGAGCCAGAGTAGGCGGAGGAGGGGGAGGATGCGAAATAGGCGGAAGACAAGGAGGAGGAGGAGGAGGAGGAGGAGGAGGAGGAGGCAAGGAGAAAGTACTGCAAGTTCGTGTCGTGACGTCTTTGGCGTTGGTTACTGACACCGCGTAGACCGTTCAACCTTGAACGGTCGGCGGATCTTCGATCGTCGGCTCTTCGATCGCCCGATCGTTCCATACCAGTCGATTCTGGGACACTGGCGGCGTTCAACCTTGAAGGCCCGCGGTGTGGTCGCCGCCGCGTCGACACGACACGAACCTGCAGTGGGCGGAGCAAAATGAGGTTCGAGACGGCCAGGAGGTCTGAGCTGGACGGACCCAAAGAAAATCGCTCAAGAGGGGGAGGATGAAGGCAATTCCGCGCAACGGCTGCCCCCGGACCCCTCCCAGAGCCCATCTGGCGCAATTTTTCACAGCAGATCCGTAGTTGACGGGCCCGGACACGGCCCCCGGAGGCCGAAAAAGAAGAGAAACCTCCCCGAACCCAGAACCTCGAACCTCCACCCCCTCTCAGTGTCTGTTGGAACAGATTCAGGAGGGAAAGAAGCACACAGACACAATGAATCGTCGATTCCCCAGAAAATATGGGAAACTATGGGAAGTGGGGGGGAATACATGAGGCATCTGTTTATTCGTGTGTATGTATAGGAAAAACTATAGGAAACTATAGGAAAATATAGGCATCTGTTTATTTGTGTGCATTTATTTGTGTGTCCCAGGGCCCCTTCGCAGATGCTGGGACTTGCCATCGCTCGGGCGTCCGTTCCCCGTGCCTCTTCCGGTGTCGTGCGCGCACTCGTCGCGCGATGACTCCAGGATGCTCCTCGATGGACCTCGCCACGAGACCACGCACGCGTCCAAGCGATGCCAAGGGGACACCTCAGACCCCCAGCCGGCTCCAGGGAGGAAACCGAGAGGCTCCTCGACCGAGGGCTCAGGTTCTCGGCCGGCTCCTCTCGAAGAAGGAAAAGCCAGAAACGTAGACTGTTGGCGCTCCGCGCGAATCTGCTCGCGCCTGGGCCCCCCCAGCGGCGCCTCTGGCGCCGCCCCTGGCGCGCTCCGCGCGCCAGGGAGCGGGGCCCAGCGCGGATCCAAGAAATCCGCGCGGAGCGCCAAAATCGGGTCGGGCGAAAGGGGGGGATAGCAAAGGGGGGGTTTGAGAATCAGCTCACGTAGCTGATTTTCAGGGCGCCTCCCCACGCCGGAGGCGGCAATGTATATCGAGGCATGGGCCCCTCGGTGAGGCCGAAACCAGCTGCATGCAGCCAATCTCGTACCCCCCCCTTTTCGGCAATGGACAAACCTCCCTTTAGTAAACCTCCCTTCAGTGAAAACGGCCTGGGACCGAAACCGACGGACCTGGACCCGCAAAAATGACAGCCGCGACGCCCTCTCGCGCACCGACAACGGCCGATTCACCAATCGACGCGTCAGGGTAGGAGGTCTAACAAACTCCGACCGTTCCCTATCCCCCCCTTTTCGTCCGGCCCGAGAATGGCGATTTTTCTTCCTTGATCCTCGTCGCCCTCGTCCAGCGTCGGCGGCGCGCTCGCGCGGCGCTCGGGCGTGCCGCCGCCGGGCGGAGGGCCGCGTGACGGGGCGCTCCCGCTCGCGGCGCCCTGCGCCTCCTTTCCCGGAGGGGGCGACGACGGCGACGGCGGCGACGACGACGACGGCGACGACGACGACGGCGACGACGGCGACGGCGACGACGACGACGACGACGACGACGACGACGGCGGCGACGACGGCGGCGACGACGGCGGCGGCGACGACGACGACGCCAACGACGACGGCGGCGACGACGGCGGCGACGACGACGGCAATGACGGCGACGTTGGCGTCGGCGTCGGCAGCGGCCTCGGCACGAGGGGCGGAGCGAGAGGCGAGCGGAGCCGCCGGCGGCTCCTCATCCCTCGCCTCCTCCCTCCTTCCCCCCTAAAGCCTCTCTCCTCCCCCTTCCTCCTCCTCCTCCCTCCTCCTCCCTCCTCCTCCTCCTCCTCCTCCTCCTCCTCCTCTTCCGTAGCCATTTTGGCTCAAGCCGGCCTCAAGCCCCCTGGTCGCCATTTCCCCCGCGCATGGCCGGGCCGGAGCTTGGCGCTGCAAGGGCTTGATCTGCTTGGGAATGGCTACGGGAGGCCAGCGAGGGTGTGCGCCTCGTCATGTGCCAGAATCATTGGGTAAATAAACAATGGGCTCGGAGGTCAGCTGCAAATCTCGGTCGCCGACTTCACGAGGAGCGGGCTCAGGCTGCCACGATCCAGCTCGTGGACGACTCGGTCAACGCTGCGCTCGACACCATCGCTCCAGACGGCGCCCTCCTGGAGGTGCTCACGGATCGGCTGGTGGCAGTGGGCAGAGCGCTCGTGCTGCACCACACTATCGACGGCCATCTAGGACATCACCACCATAGGCTTGGCGATGCCCTTCGCGCAGTAGACCAATGTATGGTACTGCCGAGTGGCTGGATGCAGTTGGGCCGCTTAGTCAAGCGCCAGGGAAACCGAGCGCGACATGAACCGCTGTTTCAAGATGTGGGTGATCGTGACCCGCTCTTCGCCGCTGCCGAGGCCGTCGCCCGTGGAGGCCCTGCGGGTGGCACCACGTGCAGCGCCGCGGCGAGCCCCGCGGGGGTGACGTTTGGCACTGCCGAGGCGACGGCGGCCATCGGCGGCGGCGGCGGCACCAGCACGCCTGTCTTCGGCACGAGGTGCACCTGCGGCACGGTCACCTTCTCGTCGTACGGGGGGATACTTGCTGGGGTGCCGCGTGGCACGGGGACGCCTCGGGCCACAACGCGGCCCACGGTGCTCAGGGCCGACGCAGCGGCTTTCGTACCCGGCGGCTTCATCGGCATGCAGGCCACCGACGGCGAACTGGTGCAGACGCGTGGCAGCAGCGGTTCGGCTGGAGGGTCCCTGCGGGGGGTGACTGCCCAGGCGGCTGGCCGACCGCAGGCGGCGGGCGCTGGCGCGGAGGGCGGCTGGGCGGACGAAGCCGTTGAGCCTGGCTCGACAGCGACCTCGCCTGGGAGACACAGCTGCACGAGCGCCACCCTCGAGGAGGAAGCCCAGCACATCCTCGAGGTGGAGGCTCAGATGCAGAGCTGGGCGCTGGTTGGGCCATCGAGGCGCCCTTTCCTGTGTCGAGACCGCCGTGTCGATGCAGCCCGACGCTGGCAGGAAGAACGTGCGCTCCTCCTTCGTGATGCCGATGTTCTGCGGCCGCCGACGGCCGAACGGGCAGCTATCCCCACTGGACCGTTGATTGACTGGGCCAAGATCGGCGTTAGTTAGTTCAGATGTTGCGTGTGTGGTGCCACGATGCATCGCCTAAGAAGGTGGAGTTGTTGTATTCAACATTCAGTGTGAATGCTGGTCAGCGCTGACACATCCAGAGTTCGTCGTCGAGTCCTTCCTTTTCGCCGCGGGCTCGGAGAAGGTCAGCGTCATGTGTGATTCGCTTCGCGATTGATCCATTTCCATTTCCAATATCTCCTCCTCCTCCTCCTCCTCCTCCTCCTCCTCCTCCCCCCGATGTAGAGGGATCGCGCCGCATCGCCAAGCATCGCCGATGTATCGGCGACGCATCGGCGATGCATCGGCGACGTCGGCGGTGCACTCGGCGACATCGGCGTGGGCAAACACGGGCTCCACATCGAGCCGCATCGTCGATGCATCGGCGATGCGGCGGGATCCTCCGACCCCATCTGCTCCGACCCCACCTAGGAGGCCTAGAGACTGGCGGCGACGACGGCGAGGGCGAGGGAGTGCGGCGACTCGTCCGAGGGCTCGGGGTGGAGGCACCTCGCAACGGCTGCGCAGATATGACGCCTGGGGCGCGTCTGTGCTGCCATTCATGTTGCGAGGTCCGACTGCATGCGAATTCATGCAGGCACCTTGGCACCTACCTTCGGGTAGTGTCGCCCAGGCAATCCGTCCAGGCACATCAAAGACTCGTCCGAGGGGGCCGTCGTCATCGGTCGCGGGGGGGAGAAAGGGACGGATGCCTCGACTCCCTGGACCTCTCCAGAAGGGGCGTTCTGGCCAGAACCTCATGGCGAATCCGGCCGTGGCGACGGAGGTCGGCGATGTCGGTCGTCACCGGTCAGTCACCGGTGGTCGTCGTCGTCGGTCGTCACTGGTGGTCGTCGTCGGTTCTCGTCGTCGTCGTCGTCGTCGTCGACGTCCTCGTCCAACGTCGTCGTCGACGACGAGAGCGAGGACGCCACCGACGGCCTCCGCGCTAGTGCTCGGACCACCCGAAGATGCCGCCGAAGGCTGCCGCCGAGGGCCGGTCGCCGCCGAACGCCGAGGACAGCTGGTTGCCGCCGATATAATATAATATAATATAGTATAATATAATATAATATGATATAATATGATATAACATGATATAATAGATATTGTATTATACTATATTGCACTACACAATAAAATACAATATAATACACTATAACATAATATCATATAATATAAGATCACATCACATAATATGATATAGGGGTGCTTCCGACGTGCCGTTTTACCAAAGTAGCGGACGAAGCGCGGTACGAAACGAACTTGTGTCGCCATCAGGGATGCCAGCCCCAAGGCGGCTGCAGAGTTTCTACCCTGACGCGCCACTACAATTCGGTCGGGCACGTCCTCCTACAGGCGGATTTTGGAGATAAAATGAACTAGCAAAAACATATTCAAACATATTGAAAGCTTAAAACAACATATTCCTCCTGAGCTGTAGAGGCCTGCGAATTCGACGGTCTACGAATTCGAAGGCCACCTTTTCTTTCATGTCAGTGAACCAGAGCGACACCAGGGAGTACGCTGGAGTGGGCTTCATTGTAGCACCATGGGCAAAAGCTGAAATAAAATGTCATGTGCAGTATAACAACAGAATGCAGGTAACAGGAGGTGTATTAACATTGGTGACATCATACGCATACACAAACGAATACGCATACAATATCCGGCACGACTTATTTTCCGAGCTTGGGAATTTCACCAAGAAGTGCCGTTCAGATGGACCAGCGATTTTACTTGGTGATTTTAACGCGCGGCTGCTGCAGAGGCGCGCCAGAGAAGAAGATATCATGGGAGAGTTCGCCTGCGAGAACACCCGTGGTAAGGGGGACGCATTCTTAAACAGAGAATTGTTGGCGGAATTACGCACAAGCTTGGAATATCATTGCCGATACTTTCTTCGATGTGGGAACGGAATCGAAGGTGACGTACTACGACTTAAACACGCGACCCATGGACGCAACTTGACCATGTCATCATCGAGCGGGCCTGGCTGGCAAACATACGGTGCATTTGGAGCGATAGGTCCAGAGCTCTGCCAACATCCCTATACAGGAGCCACCTCAACGACAACCACAATACGGTCGGATTGATTCATCAATCAGAGAATGTCGGAAACTATATTGCTGGCTTTGTGGGAAATGGGAAGCAAAGCCTACGGACGACACCGTCGACGGGAAAGCAGCAACAAGTGCTTCATGTATGCTGGAATGGGCGAACAAAACTGTACCTCTCTCGTCCGCTACCCCACACAGGGCTTGGATCACGCAGCGGACGTTGCATTCCATTGGACAGAAAAACCATTGCAGACAGCATGGGGGATGCAACGAGGAAGCCAAAGCATTCAACAAACAAATCCAGTTGTCAGCACGCGCAGACAAAAAAGAATGGCTGGACCATGCTGTGGCACATGGTGCTCGGATGGCAATCCAGCTCCTACGTAAAGGCCGGCCGCCGCAGCATGGAAGATTGCAACATAGATCTGGGCAGCTTGTGGATAAAGAAGACAAAGACGAAGCAATGGCTGAACATCTGGAAAGCAGAGCAATGGACATTATATGATGGACCTGGAACGCTCCCTCAACTCAACCGAGACGGGGAGCATTTAAGCAATTGCACGGGGGTCATCAGCTTGGAAGAATTACGACGAGCAGTAGAAGCATGGAAAAAACAGAAAGCTGCTGGCAGCGATGGCGTACCGCCAGACCTTTGGCAGGCATTGTGGTCGTCAGACGACGCGCTGGGTATTCTTCTGGATCCGTGTAACACACGTTGGCGATTCAAGCGTATACCGACAGAGTGGCGGAGATCTTCAGTTGTAACTATATCCAAAAAGAGAGACACGACAATGTCTAGCAACTATAGGCTTATATCGTTACTACAAGTTGGATATAAAGTTTTGGCTAGTGTATTGTTGTATCGCTTGAAGACTTGGGGCGTGGAGGAAGCACTGCGCGAATGTCACTATGGATCCCGCCCAGGACGAGGCACCTCAGACGCACTTTCTCTGGTTCGCTGGTTGATTGACGCAACGTTGGAAGAGAAGGGCGGCACTTTACAATTATTTGATTGGGGCAAAGCTTTTGACATAAGGAAGCCAGAAGGGTTGATATCTGCACTCCAGCACTTCCTTGTGCTGCCAGCCATGGTAGATATGGGGCAGGCAATCTACACTTCGAGAGAGTTTGTCGTCAAAGATGGTGCAGACACAACGTCCCCGAGGCCTCAAGCGGCAGGCATAGTTCGGGGCTGCCCGTTGTCGCCGTACTTGCTTGTCATCGTTATGTCAGTTATCATGGAGTCTGTGGACAGAAGTCGTAACGCCATCCCGAACAACATGTCACAACCGTGCATGATCACGTATGACCTGCTGTACGCAGACGACACAATGCTGGTGGCTACGAAACAGGACGCTCTTCAACAGCATCTGGACGCGCTGGTGGACATCGCAAAGCCTTTTGGTCTCGAACTTAACGTATCCAAACCTATATAAGTAAAAGTGCGATCGGATGCAAGCGTTGCTGGGCCGGAAGGGGCTCTGATTACATGCAAGAGGATTACATGCAGAACTCACGCGCAGGCTTGGCGAAACAAAAGGGACATTCGACAAGATCAGCGCTGTGCGGAGCCACGCCAGCATGACCAGACAGTACAACATCCGTGTGTTGGATGCTTGTGTATTCTCAAATCTGCCCTATGGATTGGAATCTGGCATGCTGCTGTAAGCCGACAGAGACCGCCTCGACAACTTCCAAGCGAGATGCCTCCAAAAAATATGCAAGATCCAATCTGCCTTTTCTCCCGTGTCAGAAACGTCGAAGTCAGAGCAGTTGACAACGCCGCGCGCTTATCATCGCAATTATTGAGACGACAGCTGCAGTTATATGGTAAGTTGGCAAGGGATTCGCCGAGAAGCCTGCCGAGAGCAATGCTGTTCGAGAGTGGGAGCTGCCAGCCGGGAAGATTGAACAGTTTGCGCTCTCGTGGGCGCCCGCGTCTGCAATGGGCTACATATGTGCACGCCCGGGCCCTAGAGGCAGCAGGGGGCGACAAAGACAAGTTGCACGACCTGCTGCAAGGCTCTCCAGCACAATGGCACCAAATCGTTGATGACTATTGTATGTAATCGTGTTCCCGCCTTCTTCCTGTTCCCTCCGCTCCCCTCCCCCCCCGCTCCTTCCCCCCCTGTCCTCGTGCATGTTCAGTGCGCGATGTGCGAGTGTAGTTGCACCCGCCGCCCAGCACTGGTCAATGAACAAGGGATGCGACCCGGCGCTCGTGCATTCCGCATAATTTTCTGCACGGGTTTCTGGCCTTCGTGTTCAATCCAATTTGTGCCGATGCGCCGTCGAGGCGCGGCTTCTTCCTGTCCTGTCCTGGCCAGCTGTAAGGGGACATGCCCGACTTAAGGGTAGACGCTTTCCAGCCGCCCCGGGACAGGCGTCCCCGACGGCGGCACAGCGCATGCCTGCCTGCCTCCGCCTGCAAGGGAAGAGCGGCAGCACATCCTGCAGCGCGGCGAGACAAAAGAGGCGTCCTTCTGGTGGTGAGCCGGGGGCGCGCAAACATGGATCAGCGATCCGTGGATCTGGCGCGCGGTCGCCAACTCCATGGATCGGGGGAGGTACCCTCCCCGAAATGCGGCCGGTGCCGCCTCGCTCAGCGGCGGGGATCCACGACTTCCTATGGAAACGGGGCCCGTCGCTAATCCACGCCCCCTCGATCCATGCCTGCGATCGCCTGGGTGTGGTCCCCCGTCACCGCTCCAGGCATCCCCTCTCCACCGCTCGCCTCCTTTTTCAACACGCGGTGCTCGCTCTGGCGCCGCACACATTCGCCCTGAAAACCTGCACGAGGTTCGGAGGCGGAGAGGGAGGAGGAGGAGGAGGAGGAGGAGGAGGAGGAGGAGGAGGAGGAGGAGGAGGAGGAGGAGGAGGGGGGGAGGAGGGGGAGGAGGAGGAGGAGGAGGAGGAGGAGGAGGGAGGAGGGGAGGAGGGGGAGGAGGAGGAGGAGGAGGAGGAGGAGGAGGAGGAGGACCCCGCTCGCTGGCGGTGGCACCCCTGGCGGTGGCGTCGCGCTTCCCGCCTGCCTCCGCTCCTGCAGGGGCCGGGGCCCTCCCCCAGGAGCGGGCTCCTCCTCCCGAGCCGCTTCCCGACCGCCCCGCGGGGCCCGCGGAGCGCCCCGGGGCCCGAGAGCGGCGGAAAACTCGAGTCGGGCATGTCCCCCCTGCAGGGAGGTGTTCGACGGAAGACCAAACATGCTCCAAAACGTGCCCCAGAGTGGTGGAGCAATGCTCCGAAGATATCAGGGGGACGTAAGACCTGGGTACAGGGGACTCGGAAATTCCCGACGAGGTCGTCAACAGAAATGACGAGGCCGAGCCTGCATTTTGACGAGGCCTCCCGCTGCAGACATCCCACGAAACTCCTCCTCGTCAAAATCCGAGGCGCGGTCGTCAAAAAACGATGGCGAACCCGAGTCCTGGCAAACCCGGGTCTTACGCTCCCCCGAAAATAGTCCCCAGACTATGTTTGACCACCTTTGAAGATCCCCCCTGTGGAGGGACGGGCCCGACTTCATGGAGAGCCTCAGGACCCGTTCCCCTCAGGACCTGTCTTCCCATGGCGAAACATTTCCGGGGAGGCGTGAGACGTGGGTGCGGGGGACTCGGGTTGGCCCGACGGGCCCCTCGTGAAAACGACGAGGCCCAGTCTGGAATTGGACGCGACCTCCCCCGCGCTGCAGACATCCCACGAAGACTGGACCGTCAAAACCCAGGGCACGCTCGTCAAAAAGCGCCTGCGAACACGAATTCCGGATACTCGAGTCTTACGTTTTCCCTGCTTCCCTCAGGACCCACTTTGTCAGTTTCCCTCTGACGTCGGGATGTTCTCACAACGTCGACCCCCAGAGGTCTCGACCCCTTCCCGGTACTGATTTTTCATCCTGAGTCCTTAGATTGTTTCACGACTTGATTAGGTGGGGTCCGAGTAGATAGGGTCGGACGATCTCGCCGCATCGCAGATGCATCGGCTTTGCACTTGCGACGTCGGCGATGCAGCGGCGACGTCGGCGTGGAGAAAACTGTGCCCCACATCGAGTCAGATCGCTGCTGCACCAGCGATGCGGCGCGACCCCTTGTTGGAGGTCTAAACTTGTCGGGGGCGTTCAAGAAGGGGGGTGTCCAAGAGGAGGGACGCAAATCCTGGCCAGCGGCACGTGCGCGGCCCAGGGGGGGGGGGCCGGGGACGTATAGAATGAAGCAGACGCGCCATGAAATTCGGAGAGATAGCATGGCCCCCGCCATGATATCCCCCCCCCGCCTAGCCTTAGGTCGGGCACGCCTTCCTACAGGAGGATTTTGGAGGAGAAATTGAAAGAAGTCAAGACGTGCTCAAACATACTCCAAAAAACAAATCGTACCCCGACCATTGCTGGACTACTTTTGCATATCCTTCCTGTACAGGGACGTGCCCGACTTAACCCTAATCATCACCCCTCTCTTTGCCGCCCCCGAACTTGCGGGAGGACGACGAGGAGGAATAGGAGGAGGAGGAGGAGGAGGAGGAGGAGGAGGAGGGGGAGGAGGAGGAGGAGGAGGGAGGAGGAGGGGGAGGAGGAGAAGAAGTGGGAGGAGGAGGAGGAGGCGGAGGAGGAGGAAGAGGAGGAGGAGGATGCCAGGGTCTGGGACTTGAGCTGCTGGCGACGTCTGGGCGGGGGTGGCGCTCCTGCGGCGCGGCCACGGTGGCGCCGCCGCCCGGGCCGGACATCGACGGCGTCGGCGGGCCGGGCCGCCGCTCGTCGGCGGCGCCCTGCGGGGGAAGAGAGCCCAGGATCGAATCGACAGGTCGGACCAGCAGTCGACATGGATCCGACAGGCATTGCTTTTCCATAGAGTCGGGCTCCATTGGGCAGGGCACGCGAGAGGACAAAAAAGCCCCTTCCGAGGGGGCCACACTGCCACAGGCATGCAGGAGGCACGGGTCGCGAGGCACAGGGCACAGAAGGGCACCCTTGATTCGGCAGGGTCGACCTACTGATCCGGGCGGGCGGGCGGGCGGGAGCCGGCCATCGCCCCGGAGGACGGCCCTCTGAAGAGCTGCGGCGGTGGCGCCGCAGCGCTGGAGAATGTTCTCCGGTTGCTCTCTGCAGTCGTTGCCCGCGTGTCTATACTCTGTTGGCATCGGGGCAAACTGCTGCCACGCACTGCTTCACCAAGATGACGCCACCAGTAATTGATGCGCTCATCCCTGACATGGCCTCGATCGACCCAAGGGAACAAGTGGATTTACACTCGAGTTCTCATCGATGATCTGGCCCCCATTACCCGCAAAAACAATTCGATCTACTCATTGGATCGACTGTGGGGCGGCGAGCCAGGGGGGGAAGTGAGAAGGGGCGTACCTTCTCAGAAGGCTCGGAAGTCCTCCAGACTTCTGAGAAGTTTCCTAAGCCTTCCCCGAAGACAGACAAAAACTTCTCAGAAGGCGCGAGGGCTTCTGAGAAGTCCCGCCGCCTTCCGAGAAGGCCTTCTCCTTCTCGATTCCCTCCCTCGCTCGCCGCCGAGAAAACTCAACCGTCAAAATCATCCACGACGACGACGACGACGACGACGACCTCTCTGGCTGCCGACGGGGAGGCGTCTCGTCGGCGCGACACACGTCCGCGTCCACGGCCCTGCGGGCCGGCCCCTGGGCGACCGCGACCCCGTGGACACACGGCGTGTTCTCACGGGTGCTCCTCGCGGGCGTAGCTGTCCATACATCTCAGGGGGACGTAAGACCTGGGTACAGGGGACTCGGAAATCCCCGACGAGGTCGTCAAAAAAATGACGAGGCCGAGCCTGCATTTTGACGAGGCCTCCCGCTGCAGACATCCCACAAAACTCCTCCTCGTCAAAATCCGAGTCGCGGTCGTCAAAAAACGATGGCGAACCCGAGTCCCGGCAAACCCGGGTCTTACGCTCTCCCGAATCGCGCACCCACGGGAGATCCCGGGACAGGCACCGGACGGCGAGGGCGTGGATATGGAAGCGTTCGCCGATCGGTATCAGAAAGAGGGCCGTGCAGCCCGTTTAAGAAGCCACTGGTCCAAATCAAGCGGGACCCAATCCAGGACTACGCCAGATCATGCAGGAAAAAGCATGCCAGTTTTCGACCACGGATCTACCAGCGCCGATGGTGGCTTAACCTCCCAAGAGTTGCATGTTAAATCTGCAGGTCGGTGGGGCTCGCTCTCTGGTAGCCGCCAGGGAGGTTTGTAACGGGAACGGTTCAGGGGCCATGGAGCCCAACTCAAGGGGCATTCATTCAACCGGATTAAGCTGCATTTGGCCCAGGACCAAAACAGCTTGGACAGGGCAAGCTGAATCGGACGGGACCAAGCCAGAGCACTCAGGACGGATCCCGAGCGCGGATGTACCGGCGCCGATGCTGAATCGAATTCCCAAGAAGTTGCACCCAATGAAGGGGAGGCGGGGGCGGTAGCAGAGGGAGAGACTGACCTTTGAATTCAAAAAACTTTCTTTGAATTCAAAGAATGGCGGCCGAAATCGAACAAACAACTTGTTTTCTGAATTCAAAAAACAGGTTGTCTGAATTCAGAAAACTGGTTTTTTGAATTAAAAAAGTCTTTGACATCAAAAAAACAAATCTCCGAAGTCGAGAACTGGCTGCCCCGTGGTGGAGCTGCGCGCTGGCCGCCCGTGGCACGGTGGACGCCCCGCCCCACCGTGGGGGGGGGGTGGGGGGGGGGGGGTCCCGATCGCACGGCCTGCGAGAGATGGTCAACGTGCCACACGACGAGCCCTGCTTCAGGTCGGGCCCGTCCCCGTACAGGCGAATGTTGGGCGACCAATGAAACATGTTCTTGGCTTGTTTTCTCAACAACAACCAAAAAGCTCCAGATAGAGTCGAACAACTTCGAGAGCGCAACATACGACGCGACGAGACTTGCTTCAGGTCGGGCATTCCTCCTCCTCCTCCTCCTCCGCCTCCTCCTCCTCCTCCTCCTCCTCCTCCTCCTCCCTGTCTCCACTCTCCTTTGGCATCAGTCTCGTCCCGTCTCGTGTCCAGAACCTGCCATCGCCCTCCCTCCTCCCTGCTCCCTCCTCCTGGCTCGCTCTTGGCCCCTCCGACCTCCCCTCTCCCCCTCCCTGCTCCAGCGGGGGAGGGAGGCGGTGGAGGGAGGGGGGCGAGGAGCGGGGGGAGGGGAGCGATCGAGTCGGGGGGGGGGGAGAAAAGGGGGCGGCGGGCGGCGATGGGCGCGATACCAGCAGCCGCGCCAGGGACACCGCCGACGGAGCCGTCGACGACGAACGACAGACGACGGACGACGGACGACGACGACGACGACGATCACGACGACGACGACCGACGACGACGACGACGACCAGGACGAAGACGACAGACGACGACGACGACGACGACGACGACGACGACGACGACGACGACGACGACGACGACGACGGAGAATGAGGCCGAGCAGGATCACCCTCGTTCTTTCCTGCTCCTCCTTCGCTTCTGAACCTCTTGCTGGTCCTCCTCCTCCTCCTCATCAGTCCTTCCTCCTCGTTTGCTTCCTCATTCTCCTCCTCCTCCTCCTCCTCCTCCTCCTCCTCCTCCTCCTGGTCCTCCTCGCTCCTCCCTCCTCGTTCCTCCCTCCAGCACTCCTTCTGGTCCTCCTCCTCGTCCTTCTCGTGTCCTTCCTCCTTGTTCCCGCTCCTCCTACTCCTCCTCCTCCTCCTCCTGCTCCTCCAGGTCCTCCTCTTGCCTCAGGGAGCGAGGGGGGGCGGAGGGGGGGGAGAAGGCGAAGGGGGGGGAAAGGGGGCGCCGCCGACGACGACGACGACGACCAGGACGACGACGACGACGACGACCAGGACGACGACGACGACGACGACGGCGACGGACGACGGACGACGGACGACGGACAACGGACGATGGACGACGGACGACGACGACGACGACGACGACGACGACGACGACGACGACGACGACGACGACGACGACGACGACGACGACCGACGACGACCGACGACGACGACGACGACGACGACGACGACGACGACGACGACGACGACGGACGACGGACGACAACGGAGGACGGAGGACGACGACAATGACGACGACGACGACAACGACGACGACCACCACGACCACGACGAGGGGGGACGAGGCAATGGCCTGCTGATCCGCCCCTCCCTCTCCACGTCCTCTCATGTTCTTCCCCTCCCTCCTGATAAGGTGCAGAGTCCCACGTCCACTACACCGTGATGTGGACGTGAAGCGGTCTGATGGTGGTGGTTCGTTGCCGTCGCCCTCGCCATCGCGCAAGCCACCGTTGCGCGCGTTTTGGGATGTGTGCATTTTCTCTGCAGCCTGGAATGCCTGGCTTGAGCGCCAGCCTGAAGTTTGGGCCTTCGAGGCCAGCTTCATAAACTCTCCCGTGCGCCAAAAAGTTAAGCCTCCTCCTCCAAAGATCAGTCTGCATCTCATCGACAGATCGGAACACATCGGAATGTGCATCGCATCGGCCGACATGGGCACGGACTCGGACTCGAATGAGACCGGGAGCGCCGATGCACAGCCGCGGCACGCAAGCAGCAGGGCGTATCGGCTCTCCGGAATATCGAACTCGCCTCACAACGGGCCGCCCCGAATCGATATCGGCTCGGATCGATCCGACCGACATGGGCCCTGCCCCCACATCCTCTCCAACACAGTCAGGCAGCCAGCGGCCTCTAAAACTTCCCAAGGAGGATTGAGGCCGAGGAGGTGGAGGAGAAAGGAAGAACACGGTGGTAGGAAGAGGAGGGAGGAAGGAAGAAAAGAGAATCATGGTTTGTTGAACTCCACGCCAACACCTGCAGAGCAGCCGGCTGAGGCGCTGTTCTGGCGACGAGAGTGGACCAGCAGCAGCAGCAGGAGCCGCTGCTGCTGCTGCTGCTGCTGCTACTGAAATGCATCGCCGATGCATCGGCGATACACCGTCGACATCAGCGATGAATGGGCGGGCGACGCTGGCGTAGTGAGAATCAGGATCCATATCGACTTGCATCGCCGATGGATCGGCGATGCGGCGCGTTCCTCCGACCGCATCTTAGGTGGCGACATCCAGACCCTACCCCCACCAACCATGGATTATCCTGAATCGATGGAAGGCGGGTGTAGGGTCTGGATTTCGTCACGTGTCCGAATTGTGCGGGACCCTACCCCCATCGCCCATCGCGTTGAATCGCTGATCGACCAGGACAGGGTTCGGCTTACGCCGCCAAAATATGTACTCCGACCCGTGGCCTGCCAAGGGGAAACCAACAGAGATTGATAGCACTACTCCCCAGGAAATTATCCTGGGATGCGTTCCGACCAGAACTTCCAGGCGAACTCGGCGGTGGCGACGAGGGCCTCCCCGGAGGCCAAACAAAAACACCATGGGCCATGGGGTCCGAGTAGATGGGGTCGGAGGATCGCGCCGCATCGCCGATGCCTCGGCGACGTCGGCCACCAGCGCCGTCGGCGTGGCGACAATCGGGCTCCGCATCGCGCCCCGCCGCCGACGCGTCGGCGATGCGGCGCGATCCCTCCGACGACCACCTGCTCGGGCCCCGTCTGGGAGGCTGGCACGGGCGCGCGGGGGGGCGCCTCGCCGCCCCCGCCCCGACCGCCCGCGCCTGCCGCCGCTCGCCCTCCGCGGGACGCGGGGCACCCCCTGCGACGGAGCGAGCCCAGGAGAGAGGCCGAGCGCTCCGCAGCCGTCCCCCCAATGCACTCCAGCGGGGCTCTCCGCGCGCCGATGCCTCGCGAGGGGGGGGGCC